AAATTGTCTATCATGAAATTTGACTCCACCTGGCAGAAGCCGGGGCACTACAAGACGTTCTAAAAGCTTTCCTAACGATGGTAATAATGTGATTGGTCGGTAGGATTTAGGATCATCCGGTGGCTTGTCGCCACTTTTTGGTATTATACGAATATTACCGCACCGCCATATACGAGGAAATATTCCTTCAGCAATGCAACGTTTAAAGACAGTGAAAATCGTGTCACCCGAAAGTTTACAAGCTTCTTTTATCATTTTGTTAGATATTTTATCATCGCCCGAAGCCTTGTTTAGCGGCAAGGATCTAATGATACCGAGAAATTCGTCTGAAGATGGTAAATCAGACATTGGAGACAGTGGTGGTTCGATGGCCCACTGCCTGATCTGTCGGTGATGATCAGTGTCGTTTTCCGGTCGATCGTCAGGTACGAGTGAGTCTAAAAGATATTCTGCTGTTTGTTCTACTCCTGTGGTATATCTGTTATTAATTTTGATGTTCTGTATGTATGCAAGGTCGATTGATCTATTTGCCTTAAATTCGTGATACAAAGGTGACCACGGGCCCTCTCTATCGAGTTTATCAACAAGTTTCTGAATTAAGTTTCCCTTGGATTTTTCCACAGCAGCTCTGTAGTGGGACCTGGCAACTCTAAGAGCAATGAGAGCATTGTTGTACAAATCTCCTGTTACGTTATGTTTTTTAATAGTGTTTAATTTTCTACGAGCTTTCCGGTAGCTTCTACGTAGTTCGGCTAATCTATCATTCCACCAATCACATCTACGAGTGTTAGTGATAGATCCGCGACCAATAGTTACATCAGCGCAGTATGTAAAAGTTTCTAATAGTATTTCTGCGCTTTCCTCAGCTGATAAACTACTGCGACTGAAGTCTTTGGTATGAGTTGCAAAGAGTGAACCAAACAAAGCCCAGTTCGCACCTTTAGTTTTATATCTAAAATTATAGGGAGCCCTTTGTGAATCCTGTGCCACCCTTGGTATGAATTCGTACACGATCAAGCGGTGATCACTACAGGATGCGTCCGGAAGGACACGCCATCTGGATATCGAGACGTCGCCGCGTGTAAGCGTCACGTCAATAGAAGACTCACCCATTGGGTTGCAAGAAGTTGGTGGTGCATCGGGGGTATTGTGAATAATAAGATTCATTTCCGCAATGAAATCTTCAACCGCACAACGTCGAACCGTGTCGGTTGAACGCAACTTGCCATACCATAATGAAGATGACGCATTGACATCAGCGCCAATGATAATTTTATGTCCCACGAGGAACTGCAAGACGTAACGTAAGTGATGTAAGTGAGGATCAATAGGATGTGAATATTGAAAATAGCAGCTCACTACGTAAACCTTACAGGTAGAGGATGAGATCTCAGCAACGGCGCAGTGTGACGTCATAAGATTACGCAAGATGTTACCGTAAAATTAGAACTTGCAACATATATCCCAGCCTGCGAACGGCAGTCAAGCTGTACTACATTACGACGCAAGTGAGCGCTCTGATATTGTTCTTGTAAAAGGACAATGTCTAACTTTTGTTCTAAAATTAAACGGTCTAACTCTGATGTAGCTATTTTATCGTTATGAAGATTTATCTGGCCTATCGAAATATTATTCATTACTTAGTAAGTTACTCTTTTAACTTTTTTTTTTTTTTTTTTTTTAAACTAAGTTAAACTATTCAGTAATTGGTATTTAATATTAGCTGTTCTAGTTTTAATTTGTATGTGGCACAGTCGTATGAGCCGCATCGATGGTCAGATGGTTTTTTGAACCGCTTACACTGTGCGCACGTGGGCTTAAAATCTGGTGTGTCTTTATCTGGACAGGCTCGCGTTTCGTGTGCGGCGGCGCAATTAGCACAAGTAGGGGTTTTTATGGTGCAAAACTTTTGTACATGACCGAATTGCTGACAATTTAAGCAACGAACTACTTCTATATCGTCTATGAATCTACATGTGGCCCAGTCTATATAAAGTTTATCTTTTGTGTTGGCTAGATGTTTCCGAACTGCTGCCTCCAATTCTAAGCCTATCCATTGACGCCCATTTTCTAGTTTACGATGCCTAACAATTTTGGTTGACTTAATAAAATCGTTCTCACTTAATTTTAATTCGTCCTTGATATTCTGACGGTATAAGGCTGTTAGGAAGGCACGATCTTCCATAGAACCGGGTACGTCTTTTACAATTATACGGGGCCTACGGCCTTTCGGTTTTTCTAAGCGCAACCCTACTGATTTAATGGCGTCCACAGATTCCAGTTTCTTAAGCTGCCGTTCGTTAGCTACACGTAACACGACGCCTGCCTTAGAGGTTTTTTTAACGCCTACAATTTGAAATCCCTCATCGCTCGGTTTAATAGCCTTCATGAGAGCTTGTTTTGTTGCTGACGAGGTCGCATAGTCCGCTAAGCGTTCCGTAGTGGGATAGGCAATAACACAAGGCCTAGGAACGCGCGCTTCAGTAGGTACCGGGCACGGAGCAGATTTAGGTAGTAATCGAAGCTTAAGTTTGTCCGCGTACGTTAAACTCGTTTTTTGAGTGGCGATACCCTCCAATTGTCGCTCAAAATTCGCTAACTTCGTTTCGTTGCTAGAGGATTTTATTGCTAACAAAGATACGATACCGGTAATTCGTTGAGTAATATCCATAATCGCCGTTTTATTACCTACATTCATCCGAGATCCCTGATCATTAACTAATTCATTAATTTTTGCTAAATAATCAGTGGCCTGTGATACTAAGTCACAGTAGTTGTACTCCCCACAGTTATCACGACCGGTAGGAGACGAAACATTTCCACTTAAGTCCGAATTAATAAGGCGCCTACGGCTACTGTCTTTCGGCGAGAAATCCGTAGGTGACATTTCGATAAATGTCCTTTTCCCGGTTGGTGTTAGAAATTCACTTGTACCGCCGGGGTCCGGCAACTCGCTAACGACCGACATAGCCAAACAAAGACACACCAAACAACAATTTCAAAAGGAACAGGTTTAAAAATAAATAACACGCAGAGAAAAATAAATTTACTCACCAATAGTCGTAATAAAATAATTCAGCACTATATTACTGTTTAAAAACAATAAAAACTTACTGACTTTCTTTAAAACACTATACACAACCTTTAGCCGCCCGCAAGCCGGAAACTAGTCGCAGAAAAACAAAAAAACAGAATTCTCACAATTTTCCAATCGGCAAATAGTGCTGTCCATCGATTATATAGGGATATGAGTAGAGGATTCGCTCCCGGTCGATTTTTATAATCCCGGGATTTCGGAATTATCTACAGTTAATCTCGGGATCCCGGGATAGTCCCGGGATTGTATTGGCAATGGAAAGTGGTAACAAAAAGATAGTAAAACATATCAAAATATTGTTTTTGTTTATCATTTAGTTTTGTGAGGACATAGAATATTTAAGTTTTAAATCTCCAAAAAGGCGGTTAAACAAAATTATACTTTCTTCTTATAAAATGAACAAACTAGTGCCCAGTTTGTTTTGTGTTGCGGTAAATAATTTATGAAACTAATAATAAACTTCAAAAAATCAACTTTTTAGACTTATATAGATAAACTATAAAAAAAACGATATGTTTAAGAGACCAATGTTTAGAGATACCTACTCATATTTTTTAATTAAATTGCCCAGAAACTTTATAAATTACACACTTTTACGCATAATCCAGAACCGGTCATTAGCAAAAACAAATAAAATCAGCTGTGTAGACAAGATGGCTGTCAAAACATCAAATCAAGGCAAGTGCGTTTCTTTTTACGCACAATTTTATTGACTTATGTAAAAAATGTATCAATCCCGAAAATCCCGGGATTCATTAAATTTGATCCCGAAAATTTCGGGACTAAAATATGACCGGGATCCCGGGATCCCGGATCATCGAATCCCCTAGATATGAGCGATTTGTATAAGGCCTTACTGAGTTGTTATATGAAAAATGGATACATAGCAGCGACTACCTACTATAGAAAATATTGATCCTAGCAGTGAAATAAAATTTCTTGATATTTATCAAATGTATTTGGGTGTTAAAGTAGCAAAGTAGTATTTGTAAAAATGGGTAGGGATAAAAAAAACAAAGTTTTTAAGAAGGTCACAGTTATTTCTGATTGAGCTTTGCATGCAATTGAAAAAGAGACTGCCAATGGAGCATTATTTGTTTAGGGAGTTAATATTTTCGGACCCCCAAATAGCAGCGTATAAGCAGTTTTTTAGTCTCGTATCACTGACTCAACGGTTTCCTAATTTAGTGTGTGACGAAAATACACAACAATTAATTAACGAAGATTATCGTCAGTTAAAATATGACAATAACGTACAAAATTTACTGGCATCATCCAGTGACTCTACAGTGTCACAGGATACTGATAAGTTTTGGACGAGCGTTCATATATTAATAGATAGTAATAATAAATTGAAATATGATAAATATCTGTAAATTCGCAAAAGTGATGATGTGTTTGCCCGTATCGAACGCTTCTTGTGAGCGTATAGTTTTGCAAGTTAATTTAATTAAAACTTAACATCGTAATCGATTTTTGTGATTGTGACACAGATTACATCGCTTTTGCACACATAACAAGGAATAATTGATGGTGGAGAAAATTTTACAAACTTTGTACCTGATTCTAAAATGATTAGATTAAGCAAAAATTGTAATGATAATGATGATGATAATGATTCTCAATCTAATTAAAATCATTAGTCTTGTTTTATTTCAACCGCATTGTTCAAGTGCATCAAAATATAGGTTGAGAGAATTACGGATTTTTTTTCTTCAGTAGATTTTAGTAAAAAAGTTGCCGAATTTAGTAGATTAGTGAGATTTTATTACGGTCACACTGGCACTATGTCGTTAATGTCAATTCAATCAATTTCTAAAAAGTGTCGAATTGTGTGCAGAATTCAAAAATAGGTTACAAAATTGATATTTAACAATATTTCAGTTAAACAAATTTAAAGAAAATGAATAACGCATTATTTCGTGTACCTGCTAAACAATATGTGATGTTAAAAAACTTGAAAAGCGTCACTAGTCGTTGCATGGCGTCGAAAGTGGATGATGTTGTGACCCACACAGGCCAAGTATAACTATCATAACTAATATTAATCTTCTTAAAATACTCTTTTATTCAGAATATATAAATTTATACCAATTACATATTATTTTCTGTGGATACATTTAAAATTTTTGCACGTTAGCAATGTGTTTCGGTCTTACATAATAGTAAATAAGTAGAGATGTTTCGCTACCTATGATTTCAATTATAGGTACCATGATATCGTTTTAATTCCCTAAGCAATTAATCAATGTTTTTTAAATATTAACTCATTTACATAGATATTAACCATATTTACATAGATCAAGAATTATCCAAAATTATTGTAATTCAAAAAATTTAACCCAGTTAAATTTTAAACCCAGTCAAAAAGTTTAAACCAGTTCACATCACACATCACATCATCAGCCTTTAACAGTCCACAGCTGGACATAGGCCTCTCCTTAGAAAGGAGGTTTTGGCCTACTATACCACTCTGGCATGATGGATTGGTAAAGGGTTTGTTTCATTTAATAGCAATCTGTTTCTACCACAATCTAAATGAAGAATGATACGGAGCATTTAAATATTTCGTTTATTATTCATCATCATCATCATCAACAGCCTTTAATAGTCCACTGCTGGACATAGGCCTCTCCTTAGAAAGGAGGTTTTGGCCTACTATGCCACGCTGGCCAGACGGGTTGGTATAGAGTTTATGTCAAGTTTTCCTTCTCTTTGCAGTGCTGTTATCCTGCTTAGTGCGCTCCCTTAGTCGGCTATCACGACATCCACAGCATGATTACGGGTGATGACACTCCATATTCATAATCTGTTACCACACTGTAGTAACTATATACTTACTAGTAACTTGTCCTTATTCTGTAGTAATGTATAATGAATAAGTGATATTCCAAGAGCTATAAAATTTGAATGGATATAATTTAAAGGGTTTTTATTTTAAAGTGAAAATGTTTTAGCCGCATTGAGTTATTTTTGGTAGGAGAATAATTCAGGGATTGGCATAGCCCACAATGGTGCAGTGGCAACGTATGCGACTGCTGTGCAGAGGTCTCGGGATCGAGTCCCAGGGCCTTAATTCTGCTATTACGCCAAGCCAGTGTCATACCACTGACACGCTATTGAGATGCCATCGAGTAGCCATTGGCATCGGTATAGATATCGGTAGTCGAAAATATATTACGTTTTTTGAGGAAATGATTTATTTGTTTTTATTATAATAAATTATTAAAAGAAATAAATAAATTAAAATAACAAAAAAAAAAAATTAAAATAAATTATTAAAGAATAAAATATAAAAATTATAAAAAAAGAAATAAATAAATTATTAAAATAAATAAATAAAATAAATAAATTATTAAAACAAAAGAAATAAATAAATTAAAATAAGTTATTAAATAATAAAATATAAAAATTATAAAAAAAGAACTAAATAAATTATTAAAATAAAAAAATAAAAAATTAAAAAATTTCATCAAGAAACGTAATATATTTTCAAATTATAAGGAAATGATTTGTTTATTTAAATTGTTTTTAATTTTAATTTTTTTATTTCATAATTTTTTTAATTCTTTTGTTTTTATAATTTTATTTTTTTAATAATTTACTATAATAAAAATAAATAAATCATTTCCTCAAAAAACGTAATATATTTTCAAATAATTAGGAAATGACTTATTAATTTTAATTTTTTTTTTTTTTTAATAAATATTATTTATCTTTTTTTAATAATTTTATTACTTTAATAATTTATTTATTTATTTTAATTATTTTTTTCTTTTTTGTAATTTTTATATTTTATTCTTTAATAATTTATTTTAATTTTTTTTTTTTTTTTTTAATTTTTTTTTTTAATAAGTTATTTTAATTAATTTATTTCTTTTAATAATTTATTAAAAACAAATAAATCATTTCCTCCAAAAACGTAATATATTTTCAACTACCGATATTTATACCGATGCCAATGGCCACTCGATGGCATCTCAATAGCGTGTCAGTGGTATGACACTGGCTTGTCGTAAACATAAAATAGCAGAATTGAGGCCCAGGTCAGACATAATGTTTGTACTTTGTATAAGCTTTGCTTAGTTAAAAGCCAAATGGTGACATGTGTGAACAAAAAACTAATGTCATGCATTGAACAAGGCGTTTAAATACATTTAACTATTTTCAACACATATTTATAGTATTGTTGTTTTAGAGTATATTTTTCTAGATTAAAAATAGATTCAACACTGTTATAATTCACACTTCAGTTGGCGCGTCGACGCTCACATCTTTTTCATATTTCATATACACCGTGTTAAGTACATCGTGCCGAAAACTGAAATAGCGTATTTAAACTTCTGAAAATGATGATTTCCGACTCAGAATGTTGGTCTGAGACTATTATTCTGAAAAATAAATGGTAAATAAAAAAATAAAAAATTCTGGCAAAAAGTTCTAATGATTGCCGACTCAGAATGATTTCCCTTTTTTTTGGTTAAAAATGATTTCACAATGAGTAAACAGAACATTTTACCGAAAAAAAACTAATAAATACCGCATACCTGGCTATAAACTGCAATGTAATTAATCAAACAGCATTTAAACGTTCAATGCAATCAGCTGTCAACGGCGTCAAACGTTAACGTCATTCCCCCGTATCGCCCAAAATGAATAGGTAACTAGTTGTATTACGTGCAAAACAGTCTACAAACACTAACATAATTTACTGCAGGGACACGTTTAGCGCAAAATAAAACTAATCACTGTAAATCCTTCATCTTTCATTTTTATGACGAACTGACTTTTGCATCGTGATAAATATCCCCAGAAAGATGTTTTAGTGAGATATGTGAGACCTTGTGCCTTACACCCTGTATAAATAGCAAACGTCTACCAAACTACGTTCCGACCGGGGGTCCATAGACCCCTCACGCTTTATTTGCTACAATTTTACAAACACGGCAAACAATGTTGCTTCATAGGTTTATGTAGTTCTTGTGTTGTGTCTAGAGGACAGCGCCACCTAGGATCAAGTGGGGCACAACGAACGCTACGCATTGAAATTACAGTTCTTAATTCCGATACTTGCAGTGTCATCTAAGATCGGAAGATTATAGAAATTTGTAGATTCCTTATTGTACGTGGTTCTGTCTGGAACATTCCATCGTATCCTCGGGATTAGTCTAGTAACATCGATAGCCCTATAAAGGCGGAGTATGTTCGCCGTACATCATCAGCCTATCGCAGTCCACTGCTGGACATAGGCCTCTCCCATTGCACGCCACTTAGATCGATTTACGGGACAGTATTATTTTAGGACACAGCGAATTAACATCGAAGCGAATTTCTAGTGCGACTAACGAGTTATATAGTGATTTCTTTTATTATATTTTCTGTCAATTGGGGAACTTATGAACCTAAAAATGAATCTCTCTCACCTATGATTCATTCGTAGCGGTTTGTGTAACGGACTGCCATTCCAAAGGTCGCGGGTTCGATTCCCGCTCAAGTCAAACATTTGTGTGCATGAACATTTGATGTTTGATTTGGTCTGGGTGTTTCTATGTATAATATGTATGTATTTACAAAAAAAAAGTATATATGTATTTATATCAGTTGTCTAGTACCCATAGTACAAGCTCTGCTTAGTTTGGGACTAGATGGCGTTGTGTGTATGTGGTAGAATATTATTATTATTATTATACAAACAGCACACTTCACAATTGCTTCGCATGTTTTTTTTTTGGGGGAAGAATAATTTAATATTGTAAACTTCGATCAACAATAGCAACTAGATAAAGGGTCACGTACAAAGTCAAAGCTAAATGCTGTCCGCGTGAATATATACTTATGCAGCTACATTTGTTTACCAACAAACGGATGGAAAAGTTTTAAAATAGTTTTAAGTTCAACCTAATTACAACTATGGTACACAGTAATAAAGTCACAAATCTTCAAAATATTATCTAATACTTACGATCATTCCTTGCGAAAAACGAGCAAAGCAATAAATTACTCCTATCACTTTCAAATGAAAAGACATAACTTAAATAACATTTATTGTAAAATCAACCTTATGATGCAAGAAATAAAGTAATTTTTCTCGTTATTGCCTTGAGAGCTACATCGTTTTGTTTTGTTTTATTTTTGCTTCTTCTAGTTTTACTACAGGAGGTATGGAGTCGCGTTGAACACTAAAATAATTTATAATATGAACGTAAAATATTAGTTGCTTACTTTTTATGTTTCGGACATCTATGTTTGTTTGTTAGTATCTTTACATTACTTATTATTTTATTAACGTTACATTTTTGTGTAATATGTATGTGTATTTTCTTTATCACATATAATGTGGTATTTGCAAAAGATATTTAGACGGATACAGTATTAATCGTTATCAAAATAAATACGTTAGTTATCTGAAGCAATTCATACACATTATAATAGCCCCTTACACCATACAATTTAAATGAATATGTTAGGAGATATCTTAAATTAAAAACTACGCGCGAGTGAATAAATCGCGAATAAAACTCATCCAAACCAACAAGCTAATGCAAAAAAATGTAGGCATTTAATGCTTTAAGCGACCCGCCCTAACACCAAAAGCAGGACCCGCACAGATATACTAAATAAAATATCTCTAAATTCCACATCAAATTAACCACCCAATTTTGAAGTTCTGTTAAGAATTTTTATTTGTAACATTAATTGATAATGACAATAAGTAGTCTTTAATTTAGGACAAGAACGACAATATTTTTTGTGAACTACCCTTATTCAAAGGGTGTTTGAATCCAAAATCCTTAAGATTTCTAGTATTTAGGATATCAAAAAGATCATTTAGTATCTTAATAAATTCTACTGTGCATTCTGATTCTCTGAATGCGGGAATATTTAAGATTTTATTACAAAAGTCTATAGCTTAAAAGTCTATAAGTCACTAGCAAATCTACAAACAAAAATAACATTACAAAATAACCACACTACTCCATGCATTCCCTGTTCAAGAACAGTCGATGTTTGATACAATAATTGATGCGTTGTAGCAAATATTGGCCAAACAATTATAACATTCGCTAATTGAATTATATTTACAGTTTAATTCTGTTTATACTTATTATATTATGAAAAAAACACTTATTGATATTAACTTACCGAAAAAAAGATATTCCTTCCAAAACCCTGGTGTTACGGTGATTATTTACACAGTTTTTGAACGCGCACTGCGGCATTTTGACGTCCTATTGTTGGCTATGATTGGACCATACTAATTTGAAATAAGAGCACAAACACTTTTGTGCTCTTATTTTTCGGGCCGTTTTTGAAGCACTTATCGGGAATCTAGTACTATTATTGATCGAAGATTGTAAACAACAAAGTATTGTAAACAACATCCCTGTGGTATCGTTGACAATACACGGTATAATAATATACAATCAGCTATGCTTTTGCTACCAAACTTATTTGATTTGAGAGAGTGGAAGTACGAGGGCGGGTCAATAAGTCCGTGACTTTTTGAATTTCTGACCTCTTTACTGAAAAAGCAACACTACTCCTGTCAACAGGCATCTGTCAGTTGACTCCTGTCAAAATTTGAACTTGCTGCGTCAGTTAGTTTGTGTTTGACAGCTATCTTTATCAGACTACCCAGTAATTTGAGGAAAAAATGGAAATAAGTGAATTTCGTGTGCTTATTAAGCATTATTTTTTGCGAAAAAAAACCATTACCGAGACCAAGGCTAAGCATGATAAATACTATGGGGACTCTGCACCATCGATTTCAATGGTAAAAAAGTGGTTTACTGAATTTCGTTGTGGCCGTACAAGCACTGAAGATGCCGAACGTCCTTGACGCCCAGTTGAGGTCTCTTTACCCGAAACAATCGAAAAAATTCACGATATGGTGTTGGCCGAGCGAAGCTTGAAAGTGCAAGAGATTGTGGAAGCCGTAGGGATCTCGCATGGCTCAGTGGTTTCAATTTTGAATGATCACTTGGGCATGATAAACCTTTCCGCAAGATGGGTGCCGCGATTGCTCACAGTCGACCACAAACGCAATCGTGTAACAACTTCACAGGAAGGTTTGGCGTTGTTTAATCGCAATATGGAGGAGTTTTTGCGCCGTTTTGTAACCGTGGACGAAACATGGATCCATCACAACACACCAGAGACCAAACAACAGTCAAAACAGTGGGTTTCTAAGGGTGAATCGGCGCCAAAGAAGACCAAGGTGGGTTTGTCAGCCAATAAAGTTATGGCGACTGTCTTTTGGGATGCACGCGGGATAATCCACATTGACTACCTTCAAAAGGGAAGAACAATCAATGGGGAATATTATGCCAACTTATTGGACCGATTCAATGACGTTTTAAAAGAAAACCGACCTCATTTAGCCAAGAAAAAAGTTCTTTTCCACCAAGACAATGCAAGGGTGCACACATGTGCAGTTGCCATGGCAAAAATCCATGAATTGGGCTATGAATTGCTCCTTCATCCGCCCTATTCTCCAGATTTGGCTCCGAGTGACTACTTCTTGTTCCCAAACCTGAAGAAATGGCTTGGTGGAAAAAGATTTGACTCCAATGATGAAGTCATCTCGCAAACAAAGGCCTATTTTGAGGACCTCGTCAAATCATATTTTTTGGAAGGGATAAAAAAAATTGGAGAAGCGTTGGACAAAGTGTATAGAGCTCAGGGGAGACTACGTTGAAAAATAAAATGATTTATTTATCAAAAAATCTGTGTTTTATTCCAAAAGTCACGGACTTATTGAGCCGCCCTCGTACGAACCGGGCTACGTCAGTAGTCGCGTAGTACATATTTTCCATTATACATTTTCTACAAAACATACTATTCTTTTTGCTGAAAACAGAAATATTTTAAACTTGATTTTCTCCTGATTTGCAAAATGAGAGATGTGCGCCTTTCTTATTATAACGGCATTTTTACAAACATACTTTAAATTTTTTTTGTTTCAGAAATGGGATTCTGATGACTACAGAATGGTCCGCTTCATGAATTCTCCTAAGCAGGTCAATAAAAACTGGGCCGTAAAGTTGATAGCTCAGGTGCCACCGAAACAAGTTACAGCAAGAGTTGTCTGGTGTGATGGAGGCAGTGGAGCTGAAGGACATCCACGTGTTTATATTAATTTGGTAAAACTTCTAATTTCTTTTTTACCCTGTGGTTTTGACCACTGTGAAAGTGTCTTTAACACCTTCACAGTGGTCAAAACCACCTTCACCTTTTTGGAAAAGGAGTCTTGTGGTGCTGCGTTCTTTCCGCGGTGGGCTGTTCCCAAATTAGACGGGGACCTACTGGCGCAGAAAGCTCTGAAGCTGAACATTACCCACGTCAAGGTAGTGAAAAGAAAGGAGATGCTGTAGGGTCTCCGTATTATGACGCCGTGATCTCTGCCAGAGTATTGGCCCTGGGCCTCGAGCACATGTCGGACCATCTCAAGAGAGGTGTTAGACGCTAGCTTGGCGACTGGACGCTTTTCTGAGTGCCGGAATAGCGGGAAACTGATTCTCTCGATGAAGCAAGGACAGCCTACCGACACAGTTGCGGCCCACAGGCCTGATTGAGGCACGGGCAATTATTTGAGAGAGTCCTCTCGACTTGCATCCTCCGACACCTGTGGTAGTGATGCACGATCGGCGCTGAGTTGCACTTGAGGGCCCTGACCAAGGAGGTGAGGCATATCTGTGTCGTTGGACATCGCCAACGCATTGAATAGTCTGCCATTCAGTACAGCTACATCAGGGAAATATCTGATATGGCCAGTGGCAGACTACTAGACATAAAGTAGACAGCCTATTTCATGCGATGTTAAACAGGAGTCTATTCTTGGAGCACTCCTGTGCAACATGGGTTACGACTGGACCCCTCGAAGCCGCTTCCCACTAGGCTGGGCGTAATCTGTTACGCCGATGATACCCCCGGCGCCTCTATCGTGGTCAAGTCGGTCCTCGTACTGGTTGAGGACCACATTAAATATCTAGGCTTCAACCTCGACAGGAGGTTGGCGGCGCCTTTTACCCAACTTGGGGATTCAGCATCGCTACACGGACTCGGAGGTTATCCGGTCAATGGCATGTACGTGCATCGGTGTAGACAGACGCTCTTGACTGTCCATAACAGGGCGCACCTTTTTTTTTTTTTTTTTTTTTACGTGTGGAAATCCCCTCGGACCGTCACCCCGCCGGGGCTCTCGGCGGGGCGGTGTGTCGGACTCGAACCGACTAAAACCACCCGGTGTGCCCTCTTTGCGCTTCCAGTTTAGGAAGGGTCCAGGTAGCTATCTCCTTCTGGACCCCTCTCAGCGCCGGCCCGCTCCTGGCGCGGGCTCCGTCTCAGTGGACCCTCTCTTTAGGCGGCGTCCGGCACACGCGGACGCCGCCCCCTCGCGGCTGGCCAACCAATGCGGGTGGAGGGGAGAACCCATCCCGTCCACCCGCGGCCACACTCAGGGCGGCATGAGGCGCAGGTGAGCGCGCCTCCGCCGCCCGGTTCGCCGGCGGCGGATCAGGTCCGAGTGGAGGTCGTCCTCCCGGGCCTTCTCCGCCGCCTCCTTCTGCGAGATTACCTCCTCGCAGAAGGTTGCGACCGCGGTAAAACAACTGTCGCTACCGGCCATGGAGCGAATTACGGCCGGTAGCGAGAGATCCGCTCCGATGACTGCAGTGAGGGCCCGGCGCTGCGTCGACCATGCGGGGCAAACCGCCAGCGTGTGCTGGGCCGAATCCTCACTGCAGTCGCAGTGGTGGCAGGCGGGACTCGATTCTCTCCTAGCGACCGAGTACAGGTACTTTCCGAAGCAACCGTGCCCGGAAAGCACCTGCGTCAGCCGGAAGGAAAGGGTCCCGTGCTGCCGCCCTGCCCACTCGGCGATGACCGGCTGGAGAGCCTCCACGGCGGCGAAGCCAGCGCGTGGAGTCTCCAGCCGGAACGACCATCTCACCATAGTGGCTCGGCGAGCGGCTTCGCGCCACTCGCGCACGTCTTCGGGCGGAGGGCGAAATCCGCTCTCCGCCCGGAAGTCAGCCACTCGCCGATAAACTTCGGCGAGCACCTCCGCCTCCAAATCCCACGGGGGTGTTCCGGCCAAGGCACAGGCCGCCTCGGTGGACACCGTGCGGTATCCGCGTATGGCTCTGACCGCCAATATCCTCTGGGGGCGCCAGAGGCGCGCCCTATTCGGGGCGGTCAGAGCCGCCACCCACACCGGTGCACCATAAAGCGCCATGGACCGGACAACCCCCGCGTACAGCCGCCTCGTGGGAACACTGGCCCCGCCCAAATTGGGCAAAAGTCGCCCTAGGGCGGAGGCAGTGTCCACCAGCTTCGGACCAAGCTGTCGGAAGTGCTCGTCGAAGAGCCACCTACCGTCTAGGACCAGACCCAGGTACCTCATCTGGGCCCGGACCGGTACGAGGACCGAGCCGACCTCGATTGAGGCGCCGGCGGGTGGACCACGACGGGGCCCATGAAATAATAGGGCCTCCGTCTTATCCAGGGCCACCCGCAAACCCAACGCCTCAATGCGCCCGACCACCAGGGAAACTCCCGTGGCGGCCAGGCGCGCCGCCTCCTGGAAGTTAGCCCCCCGGGCCGTGAGCAAGGTGTCATCCGCGTAGCAGATTACACCCAGCCCGGGGGGGAGACGCCCTCGTAGGGCCCAGTCGTACCCGATGTTCCACAGGAGAGGTCCTAGGACAGACCCCTGCGGAACACCGCACGACATGGCCCTGCGTCTCAAGACGCCATCTCGGTCCTCGTACATGACGGTTCGCTCCTCAAGATAGTCTGCCACCAGCCGCCTCAGGTACTCCGGCACTCCGTGGTAGCGGAGCGCTTCCCTGATGCAGCTGAATGGCAGACTATTGAAGGCGTTGGCGATGTCCAAGGACACCGCCAACACCACTCCGCCGCAGCTCACGGCCTCCTCGGTCACGGCCCTAAGGCGCATTACGGCATCGATCGTCGAACGCCCCTCTCGGAAACCGAATTGGGCGTCCGACAGATCGGGGCCAACCTCGCAAAGGTGCCGGACGATGCGGGCAGAGAGCACCCTCTCAAAAAGTTTGCCCGCCTCGTCCAGCAACATGATAGGCCTATAGGCCGCGACCGATTCGGCAGGCCGTCCCGGCTTCTGCAGCAGGACCAGCTTCCCGCATTTCCAGCGCTCAGGGAAGCGTCCGGACGCCAGGCTAGCGTCCAACACCCCCCTGAGGTGGTCCGACATGTAGTCGAGGGCTCGGGCCATCACTCGGGCTGGAACCCCGTCCGGCCCGGGGGCGGTGTTCTTGGATCGAATCCGTAGAACAGCCGCCCCCAACTCCGATTCCCTGACGGGCGGAACATCGACCTCGCTGCCCCCGTCGTCTCCGGCTGATGCAGCCATCGACGGGGGTGAGTGCTCCGCCCGCTGCGGGAATAGGCCCTCGACCACTTCCTGCAGGAAGCTGGGCTGGAGAGTCTCCGTAAGGGGGGGGGGGGCCGACGTGCGGAGCTTTTGACGCACCGCACGATAAGGGCGACCCCAGGGGTCACGCTCGAGACTCTCCAGCATCTCCTCTCTACTCACATCCTTGGCGCGGCAGATGGCCAGCCTCAGAGTTTTCCGAGCTTCTCGGTACTCCTCATGAAGCCGGTCCACCTCCTCACCGACCCCGCGGTGACGTCGCCGACTACGGGTGAGGAACCTCCGGGATAACAGGGCGCACCTACTCTAAGGAAATTGGCGGTTAGATCAATACGCGGTTACCACACGGTGTCGGCGGAGGCGGCGGCCGGAACACCCCCGTGGAACTTGGTGGCGGAAGTGAGTTTCTTGCGGGTAGCGGCAGTTGGCACCCACTCCAAGAGCGGGGGTTAAAAATATCCCCAGAAGTCTTTCAAGGGATATTTTTTTATTATTAAATTAATTTTTATTAAAACTATATTAAATTAATCCATCTTGTATACTTTTCATAAGTTTTAAATTAATCCATCTTGTATACTTTTTTGTAGGATAAACCTGGAAATCACTCCTGTGGGTACTGCGGTCTGCGTTTTGTTAAAGTTGATCACTAAATTTGTTTAATCAAAAGACCATTAAAAAGAAATTGACACGTTCATTTTATGCAATTATATTTATGTTTGAGTTGTATTGTAAAACATTGAATAAATAGATAATAAAAAATATGTTTTTAGTTAACCGCTTTGTTCTCACTTTTTTCACCATATATTATAGCCATATTTTGATTTACAACACCACTAATAATAGGAACCTACTTCCATTTGCACAGCAGACAAATTATTCTATTAGAAGTTTTATAACTTTTACAGTTATATAATAATTCGAATGAGTATCTGAAAGTTATGTAATATTGTTAGACGGTACGGTTGACATTTGTCGTGTGCGTTAACCCAGCAAAATAATGTCGAAAATGGTCATTTAAACGTTATAGATAATTAGTTGCCCCCCTTCTGTAATTGTTAGGCACATTTTTAAATTTGTTTGACTTAAATTTTTTTAGTTATTTCGAAAAAACATTTCCTGCTGGGGTAACGTTTGAAACGTTACCGCAGCCAGACATTTTCTTTTTTAATTGGAATATTGAAATAAATATTAGCTAAATAATTAGTTATCTGGACGAGGTAGGTAAATGTTACAACTTATTTGGTATTTATATTTTCTTCGGCTGCGAAGTTATTCGATTTCCTGCTGGAGTAACGTTTGTCGGTTTGCTGGATCTCTGAAACGGGTAAGCGGATTGTAACCATCTTTTGTACATAACTTCTTACGGATTAATTTGTTAAACAATAAAATAACAAAAATAATTTACCGTTTAAAAATTATTTAAGTAAGTATGAAAACACTTCAATACGTCCTAACACTATGAATAAGACCTCTAAAGACTTGCTTTAAACGTTATTCTATTGCTTGTAACTACCTACAAATGTATACGAATTTTCTTAAGTATACTGTAAGTGACTAAAAAGTTATGATGAAATGTAGCTCTCCACGTTTCCGATCACAATGTGTGCGGCCTTTTTTGGCCACCGATAAACCTGTGTGTGGATATATAAACTGAATGTTATGCCAATAATTAGTTGTTTAGTTCAGTTGTCTACCTGTAAAATTTCAGCGTCGTACATATAATAATAGCCTCCTGGTCGGAGGTTTCCTGAGGGCGCAGGCACGGCTCCTGCAGGCCCGACCGGCAAGGTGCTTCAGGTGCCTGTCGGTGGGTCACGTAGGGGTGCACTGCACGGCGGAGGCCACCGTAGGTGACCGATGCTTCCGCTGTGGCCAGCCCGGTCACAAGGCGGGTGGCTGCAACGCTCCGCTGCGTTGCTTTAGGTGCGCAGCGGGGGGCAAGCCTGCCGACCACCGGGTTGGTGGTAAGGCCTGTGCCCTATCGCGACCGAAGCCGGGAGGCCGACCTTCCGCCTCCGAGCCGCTGATCCAGACGGAGAGTGCCGCTGGACAGCCGCAAAGCTCGCTGCGGGATGCGGGGATGGAAGTCCAGTGATGGATCCACATCTCCGCATCCTCCAGGTGAACGTAGGCCACGGTGCCGATGCTCAGGATCTTCTGCTCCAGAGCATGGCACAGTGGTCCATCAACATCGCCGCTATCGCCGAGCCATATGTCCATCGGTTTCTCGGGCCTGCCTGGGAGACCGACTTGGACGGCACGGCGGCCCTGGTGCACGGTACCGCAGCCGGCACTCCACCTCTTGCAGTAGTTGCAAGGGGACGGGGCTGTGTAGCGGCGATAGTTGGAGATATAGCGGTCGTGGCCGCTTATTTCACGCCGAACCGAAACATAACTGAGTTCGAGCAATGGCTCGCTCAGCTGGCCGTCGTCGTCGATGCCTGTCGCCCCCACCCGGTTCTTGTGCTGGGGGACTTCAACGCCTGGTCGCAGGCTTGGGGTTCCCTGCGCACGAACCCGAGGGGCAGGGCATTGGAGAACTGGGCTGAAAGATTCGGCCTAGTTCTCCTAAACTGGGGGGCCGTGGCCACGTTCGTGACGGCGAGGGGTAGTTCGATTGTGGACATCTCGTTCGCATGCCCCTCGCTAGCGCGTCGTGTCCAAGGCTGGCGCGTCGTTGTCGGGGAGGAGACAGGTTCGGATCACCGATATATTCGGTTTGACGTCTCCGCCCCTACAGATGGCGCGCCGGTCAGACCGGCACCACCTGAACCACGTTGGGCGCTCAAGCGCTTAGATCGCGACCTCCTCCTGGAAGCCGCCATCGTACAGGCCTGGGCTCCTGCGCCGGACAGGCCTGTCGACGTCGATGATGAGGCACAGTGGTTCCGGGAGGCCATGACCCGCGTCTGCGATGCGGCGATGCCTAGGGCTCAGCCCAATACTGCGAGGCGCCAGGTCTACTGGTGGTCGCCGGAGATCGCACGGCTGCGTCAAGCCTGCGTGACCGCGCGCCGCCAGTGGTCCAGGTTCCGCAGGAGGCGTCGCCGCCCCGAAGATGCGGCAGCGAGAGAGGCGGAGCTGTTAGCGGGTTACAGGGTTGCCAAGAGGACCCTTCAGGCAGCGATAAAGCGGGCCAAGAGCGAGGCCCGCCGCGAGATGCTGGAGACACTGGAGCGGGATCCGTGGGGACGCCCCTACCGTATGGTTAGGGGCAAGATGCGCCCATGGGCCCCGCCGCTCACACGGTGTCTTCAGCCAGAGCTGCTTGAGAGGGTCGTTGGCTCCCTGTTCCCAACGCGAGTGGTGGAGCATACTCCACCACAGATGGCTCCGCCTCCGGCGCTTGAGGCGCCTAACGTGGATGACGACGACGTGCCTGAGGTCACTGGGGTGGAACTAAGGGTGGCGGTGTTACGGCTTAAAGCCAAAAACACCGCCCCGGGACCCGATGGCATTCCTGGCCGAGCGTGGGTCCTGGCCTTAGTCGACGAGGCTCTCGAGCCCCGACTGCGAGGGTTCTTCAGCGCATGCCTAGAGCGGGGCCAGTTTCCGAAATTGTGGAGGACGGGGAAACTGGTCCTCATCCGAAAGGAGGGGCGCCCGGCGGACTCACCGTCCGCCTACCGGCCCATAGTGTTGCTTGACGAGGTGTGCAAGCTCTTTGAAAGAGTGATTGCAAGGCGCCTCGTCAAGCATCTCGTGATGGTTGGGCCGGATCTGGCGGACAACCAGTACGGTTTCCGTCAGGGGCGCTCCACCGTGGATGCGATCATGCGCGTGAAGGCTCTGGCGGAGGAAGCAGTCTCCCGGGGCGAAGTGGTGTTGGCGGTGTCCTTGGACATCGCCAACGCGTTCAACACTATGCCCTGGAGCTGCATCAGGGAGGCGCTCGTGTATCACGAAGTGCCTCTCTACCTCCGCCGCATAGTCGGGGCATATTTGTCGGAGAGAGCCGTCGTCTACCCCAGTAGGACCGGTCTCGGTAGGCGTGAAATGTCGTGCGGTGTTCCGCAGGGGTCGGTGTTAGGGCCACTCTTGTGGAACATCGGCTACGACTGGGTGCTTCGTGGTGCCTTCTTGGATGGTGTCGCCGTCGTGTGCTACGCGGACGACACACTCGTGACGGCGCGCGGCAAGACGCACCACGAGGCAACCCTGAGGGCCACGGCCGGGGTTGCCCAAGTCGTTGAGCGTATCCGGCGGCTGGGTCTCGAGGTGGCTCTGCACAAGTCCGAGGCCCTGTTCTTCCACGGGCTTCGGAGGAAGCCGCCTGAGGGATCTAGCCTCACGGTAGGAGGCACTCGCATCGGCATCGAGCCCTCGATCAGGTATCTGGGGCTCGTACTCGATGGCCGATGGGACTTCGGATATCATTTCCGAAGTCTGGTCCCCAAGTTGGTTGGGGCAGCGCGTGCGTTGGCGCGGCTGCTGCCCAACATGAAGGGACCCGATGACTCCTGCCGGAGACTCTACTCGGGGGTTGTGCGGTCCATGGCCCTTTACGGGTGCCCAGTATGGGCGGGGGCCCTGAAGGCCAGCAACGTCGCGATACTGCGGCGACCGCAGCGAATGCTGGCCATCAGGATCATAAGGGGGTACCGCACGATCTCCTTCGAGGCGGCGAGTCTCCTGGCCGGAACTCCACCGTGGGACCTGGAGGCGAGAGCCCTTGCAGCACTGTATCAGTGGCGCAAGGAGGCGCAGGAGTTGGGTCGATACCCCGAGATTCGAGAAATCGATGACCGGAAATCCCAACTCCGCCAGGTCATCATAGGGGAGTGGAGGGAACGACTCGGGCAACCGAGCGCCGGGCACGCCGTCATTGCGGCGGTAAGACCCGTTATGGAGGATTGGCTCGAGAGGCGTCACGGGACCCTCTCATACCGATTGACGCAGGTGATCACTGGGAAGGGATGTTTCGGAGATCACCTGTGTCTGATCCGCAAGGAGCCAACGCCTGAGTGCCACCACTGCGATGGCCAGACCGTGGACACGGCTCTCCACACGCTGGCAGAGTGCCCGGCGTGGGTTGAGCAGAGGCGAGACCTCGTGGCGGCCATCGGAGTGGGAGTTCTCTCGCTCGGTAGCCTGATTGCGGCTATCGTGCGGAGCGAGAGTGCGTGGAACTCTGCCGTCTCCTTCTGCGAGCAAGTTATGCTCGCGAAGGAGACGGCGGAGCGGGACCGGGAGAGGTTTAGAACTCTCCCGGCCCGCCAGGCCCGGGCACGGGCCAGGCAGCGCAGGCGACTCAGGCGCCGGAGGTCGCAGAACGACCTCCGTCCTCCATAAGCGCAGGCCTGGGGGTGACAGGTGAGGCCATCTGTCACCCTAGCAGAAGCAGGCCGGGGTGGCGGCGAGCGCGTTGCGAAGCGCGCTCGCTTCCAGGGAGCACAGGGAACATGGGGTTCCCACACGGGGCGGGGGTCGTCTACTCGTCTGTAGATGACCCGAGGTATGCCGGGGCACCAGGGCCTTCCTTTCTAGGGTATACCTGGTTCCCCGGCTATTAGTACCCGGCGAAGGCGTGCGGTTTTAGTCGGTTCGAGTCCGACATGCCACCGACAGGTGGTATCCGAGGGGATTTCCGCACGGAAAAAAAAAAAAAAAAAAAAAAAAAAAAAAAAAAAAAAAAAAAAGGTATGCTTTAAATGTGATTGTTGTTTATATACACGGTGATTTTATAGGCGTTTTGGAAACGAAACATTTTAATTTGGAATCATCTATAGTACCAATAAAAATGGTTAAATCAATTGTAATGTTGACTAAAAAAAGTTTCAGTTTTAACACGTTAAACGCCGATAGAAAAAAATAAAAATTGTAAAAATACTTTTGGTCGTAATTTGTTTATTATGTTACGATACGTATAGAAAATAAGTTTTATTCAATTCTGTACATGGGTTACATAGTTACAGTCAAATACATAGCTGAGGTCACCGGTGCACCCCATGGCGCTATGATAGAGGAAGGGTGAGGTCACCGGTGACCCCCATGGCGCTATGATAGAGGAAGGGTGAGGTCACCGGTGACCCCCATGGCGCTATGATAGAGGAAGGGTGAGGTCACCGGTGACCCCCATGGCGTTTAACGTGTTAATATTCATTTTTACTCGATCGACTTGGAAAGTAGTAATGGACTGATCATTCATTCATTATCTTATATGAATGAAACACGTCCGTGCGCGTTTCGGCGGTCGACGCTAACAGCAGCTGATAAAAGTATACCTGTAGGCGCGAGCTAGCGAGTACTTACGTAGATAGTCCGTCCTCCAGTTTGTCCTTCATACTTTACACGGGCTTAGGACCGTCGGAAACACCTATTTTATTTAAACTTCTTTTCGATTATTAACCACGATTGTTCTTTTCACAACAAATCAATTTATCAACGGACTGTAGCTATAAATCTTTCAAGCGTATTTAAAAAATCGGAACTATCTACAGAATAATTAACTTACATACCTATTTACACTATTTACACTTCTCTGTATGAAGCAACTGCACAAAATGGAGTCCGCTGCATTCAATACACAAACGTCCACGTTTAATGCAATTGTTTTTTAATTTTCTTAATGTGTCTCTATACTTTTCACTTTATCAAAAGCGTCCATTATCGCAATGCGTAAATTATCACGGCTTTCATATTCCCGTGTATAAACAAGTATTTTTATTTCCGACCATAAGAAAAAATCCAGGGGCGTTAAGTCCGGGCTTCTAGGTGGCCAAGGCACTGGCCCTCCTCGACCTATCCACCGATCACTAAACTCATTGTCCAGGTATGCACGCACTACACTCCGGCGAATAATAATTTAAACGTCCTTGACCTTGCGCGTGAGTATAGTATTTCTATTCGTAGTATTTACCTACTTGCGATTGAAAAGCCCTACTACTGGTTCTCACCTTTTCTCTGTAAACGATATGAATATCGACTTTGATGATAAAAAATATATATATTTTATTAAATTAACGTTCTATATAGCTTCTGTTACTGATAAATAACTCAAAATTTTCTTTTTCAAAACGCTTTCAAAATCACCGTGTATATAGCTTCTGTTATTGATAAATAATTCAAAATTTTCTTTTCCAAAACGCTTTCTAAATCACCGTGTATATTTATTTTTAATGATACATACAAGAGAAGGAAGTAAGAAAAGAAAATAAAAATAAAAAGACAATATATATACCATGTAGGAATGTGTGTGTTAGGGTGGGTAAGTTCGTGAGGTTGGATGTGTGGTAGGTAGTGCAAGTGTATTATTATGAACCTATAATAACGTTAGGGAATAACATATACCTTGCATAATATTTGACTGTGGGTAAATATTGATTGGAATAAGTGTAGATATATTTGCGGGTTGGTGAATAGAGCATAGGTTTAGAAATCAAATGACTGGTGATTTAATCAGATCTGTTTCATCATAATTTAGGGTTAGGAGGTACTGTTTGTTTCGGTCTTTGCAGTGGTGTGTATTTAAAGTGTGTATGTCAAGTTTTGTGTTTAGCTTGTTATATATAAGCGTACTTAGGTATGGGTAATGTCTACGTGCAAATGTTGTATGTGTGTGAAATTTGGGAAATGCCGGGATTGGCCTCCTTCTTCTATTGGGGCTATTAATATTTAGGGGGAAAGTTACGTGCTTGCGCAGGGCGGTGCGATGAATAAAAAGCTGTCGGACCGTGAGAACTTCATAGTCCCTATACAACTGCTGGGTAGAGTAACGAAAGGGCTTATTAAGGAGTACTTTTATTACAGCTCGTTGAGCTCTTTCAGCCTCAATGATGATGGTTTTTGCTGCTCCTCCCCATGCAGTTATACAGTAGCTTATAATCGATTCACACAGGGCACTATAGACCATTTTTATTAACTTAACGTTAGCTGATGTTCTTAACTTCTTGAAGATAAATATAAGTTTCCTAATGCGTGACGACAGCGACTGTATGTGGAATTTCCAGGACAGACAGGAGTCCAGTAGCAGTCCGAGATACTCTACCACCGAAGCTCTGGCCACTGTAGGACATGCGCAATTGTGAATTGGAATATCACATTGATGGGATTTGATAGTAAAAGAAGGCTTAGGTGACAGGGTAGAGAGACGCAATCCAAAAGTAATGAATTTCGTTTTCTCGATATTTAGCGTCAGGCTATTTCTGGCCAACCAAGTTCCCACTTGCTTCAGTGCAGATTCTGCTACATACTTTGTAATATCCCAGTCACGCCCCATATGTTACCATTGCTGTGTCATCGGCATACGCGATTATGTGGGTAGAGGATATGTTAAGGTTACAAAGATCATTGACATAGATGGAGAAGAGAAGAGGACTGAGTAAACTAATGTATTTTCCAACCTTAACACATTGCGTTCTTTCAGAGAGAAAGCTTTTAAATAAATAATAAGTTTTACCACGTACTCCTACTGTTTCTAGTTGATTTAGAAGAATAGGTACAGAGACAGTGTCAAAAGCCTTAGAGAGGTCTATAAAGATAGCCAGACACTTGAACTGTTTGTCAACTTTCCATCAGGTGACGCGTCTGCTCGTTTGCCTAAACCCGGGTGCATCCCCTCGCAATTCTCAAGAGGACACAGAATCTAACGCCGGGAATAAATGAAGTAGAAGAGATGCTGGGACCCTCGGCGTTAAATCGAAGCCTGGCGGAGCCAAAGGAGGCCCGCACAATGTCACCGCTGCCAGAAGTTTAGACACTCCAGCCACGCGCCAGGCACCTAGCTATCAGCGAGTCACGCCTAGGGCCGACACCGGTGAACGCACACCCCACCAGGAAGAAGATCCAAGGGGAGTCGCTTATGGCGACAGCGAACTTCCCAATTCCCCGAATCTACTAGACAATCGTGATTTGCATTGTACACACAGCAATAAACTGAATACTTTTTTTTTGTTCAATTCAAATCTAAAAGTCGAAATAAATGAAAACAAATCACAATGAGGGTTCATTTTAAGGGAGGCAATATAAAAAATGTTGTAGTGTGGTTATGATCTCAGATTCCAAAAATAAAACTTCTGTATATATATTTACCTTGACTATAAGGCCAATGACATTTTTTGAACATATTTAATGTTTTATGGTTGATTCAACACTTTATTATACAAATGTGTCCTACTCTATAACATTAAATTGGTACAATATATAAGGTGCCTACATTCTAATACTATCTTTATTTGGATGTAATATTTTATGGGTACAAGATAGTCAAAATTTAAGAATTGATCAAACCTATGTACATAGACATAAGCTTATATCGTCAGCACAACTTTCATTTTCAAAGCCTAGTGTTTTAAGAGAAATATAAGGATCAGAAGTTCTACTTCTCAAATTCTTCAGGCAAAAACTGTGCTATTTGCATAATAGTAGACATCCTAATGATATACTTGTAGCATTATTTTTATATGAATGCATTTAAAAACATGAGTTGAAAATATTATTGACAAATATGAATATAATTTGATAGCTTTGACTGAGTAACAGTGTAGTAAGAAGGCCTGCATAGTTTAATAAAGTACAACTGAAACAACTATTTGCTTGATTGCAAAAAAAGTGCTATTCTAGACACTTTCATTTTTTTACTTGACTTTCATTTGGTTGATTTTACAAACCTAATCTCATTCTGCATTAAGGTATAAGGTCAAAATCTTAAAAATTTCATAATTAGTCAAAATAAATAACTTTATACTCTATTCACTTGTAAAAACTTAATTGTTTTCTGATGTTACATTCTCATTGCGCAATTCTTGTCTTATTTCAATATTTGATTGTAGCAATTCCTTGAGCCTCTCATGTATGTCATCATTTTTTTGCTCCAGGTAGTCTAATGCAGAATTTAATTCATCCAACTTGGAATCCAATGAATGATATTCTGAAATGTACAAAGAGTACCTAATTCATTACATTTGTAATAGCTTCAAACTATAAAAAAGTCAGATTCCAAGTCCCTGTAAGACCTCAAAAGATGATAACATAAAGTTGCCGGTGTGCATTGGTAGCAAAAGTCACTTACCATCAGGTGACCTGTCTCCTTGTTTGACCTCCTATACCATAAAAAAATTGCATAATTGTAAATAACATGAAAATTATGGACAAATAATACCTATAAGAAAACATGTAGGTACCACTTGGTACACATCTTGTCATGCACTATCTGTAAATAGCTTGCTTCTATATTTGAATGGGCAAAGACTCTGTTTTGATAACTATCTTTTTTGCTTTCCTTTTTAAGTGTTAACAACAAAAACAATGTAAACTTTTTGCCACCTTGGATAAAACACTATCATATCAAAAACTAGTAATAGTAAGTCCTGAACTTATTGAGTATTGGTACCAGTTTTCGAAAATGATTTTTTAATTCTACACTGTTAGGTATCATTTAATATTGCCTGGTGATGATATATTGGGTTTACAGATCCCTGTCTTATTTACCAATCAAAGTATGAAGCGATAGGTCTGGACTGGTGGGTTTATAGATAGTAATATATTGATACCTTCAACGACAGCTTCATGATCCGTCTGTTCTACGGGTTCTATTTCATTGTCATCAGAGATACCGTTTTGATTACGATTTTTTTTATCTTGTCCAGCCATATTTACAATAGCTTCAATTTGTATTGGCTTTGAACAATAGGTAATGGCTATAAAATGTAGTTGCCAGTTGTTAACGAACAATCTCTAATAATATTACTGTACTCTGTGGGACAAAACAACAAGAATTTTACACAATAATAATGTTATGACAATGGTCTAGAAATGGAATAAAAATCACCACCAACTGTGATAAATCATATGATTTTTACTTCATGTAATCACAACTGTGTCTTATTTACTAAATGACTACGACTTAGTATTATTACGATGTGCTAAACTCGCGAAAGGTCTAAAAAAAGTGCCGCCAGAAGTGAAAACTTATGAACAGAGGTGTCGGTAAGGGTAACAGTGTCACTAGTTCAATTGTTTTTTCCCATTTCAAAAACTGCCCAATGCGCCTAAACTTTTTCACTTCAAGAAAAGATTTTTTTTCATCTGATTTATTTTTGACCATCATATAGTAACACGGCACTCCGGTCTGCCGTTCGGTGGCCTGTGTTGCTCTATGTTGTTCATGACCAAATCACAATAACAGGTGAAATCGCTGTATATAGAACGAATAATTTCATTATATGATTATGATTTGAAAGTAGCAATAATTTCCATGTCTAATGGTCAGCTGATTATAATAAGGTGTCGTGTTGCCAGTCCAAAAATTGGTGATGAAGTTCTAAAAAGTAGTAATGCTCTAATGGGGAATATGCATGTTTTTTTTATTGCTTAAATTAATCATTTACATCTTTATAAGAAAGAAAAAAAAAAATTCAAAGTGAAATTTAGATTGAATACCTAACCTAGTTGTACTAAAAACTAACCTAACCTAGTTTTCAAAAGTTCATTAAAAGAGCTTGCTTATTTCTATTGCGGTTGTACGAAATTAAAAAAATTAAAGTTTTAGTACATTTCTAAAATTATGTTTTGCACTACGATCCAACGCTGCGTGTGACGCCCAAGCCAAGCAAATTGCCCGCGTGTGCTGAGCCGCGTCCTCACTGCAATCGGAGTGATGACAGGCGGGATTCAATTCCCTCCTATCGAACGATTGCAGAATCAGCCGTACCCAGAAAGAACCTGCTATGCTCTGGATGCTCTGCCCACTCAACGATTGGCCTCAACTCAACGACCGGCTGGAGTGCCTCTACGGCGGCAAAGCGAGCTCGTGGAGCCTCCAGGCTGGACCGACCAACGAGCCAACGGTGCTATAACCATGGTTTTAACTGCCAATGCCCTCTAAGGGCGCCAGAATAAAATATGTTTTATAAGCTCAGACTTATTTTAACAGTGGCGTGCAATTGTATTAGGCTGAGTAAACATGCTTTTTATCCAGAATAATATTAATATTAAATCTTAACATTTGGTAATAAAAATCAATAATGACACAGTAGTAAACATACAACACAAACTGCACAATAGACATTGAGATAATACATCCATAATAATAGCACTTACATAATTTTGGTGAATGCGCGCCCTATGCCGGGTGGTCAGAACTGCCGTCCACACTGGGGCACCGTACAGTGCCATTGTCTGGACAGCTCCGTGTACAGCTGTCTTGAAACGATGCTGGTTGGGCAAAAGTCACTTAAGAGCAGACGCAGTGCCGACCAGTTTTAGGGTAAGCTGTCGGGAGTGCTCATCGAAGAGCCATCTCCCGTCATGTATCAGGCCCATATCCTTCATCTGGGCCTGAACCGGTACGTTGACGCCAGGCGCCAGGGGGTGGACTACAACTAGGCCCAAGAAATAAGAGGCCTCCGTCTTATCCAGGACCACCTTTAAGCCAACCACCAAAGAGACACCCCAGGTCCCCTCCTGCCCCCCTCCAGCCCGGGGGGGAAGTCTCCTCGAGGGGCCTAGTCGTACCCTATGTTCCACAGGAGGGCCCAAGACCAGAGCCCTGTTCAACACCACATGACATGGGCCAACGTCTCCAAATTGAAACAAAAACTATAGGTAAAAAACAAAAACTATCGTCCTTTTTAGGGTTCCGTAACTAAAATGGGTAAAACTGAACCTTATAGGTTCATCATATCCGTCCGTCAGTCTGTCCACACTATACCTCACAGACGATTAGTTTAGGAACCTGTAAATTCACATGAACATACATATATTACTAATCACGCCGACAAAGTGGTAAAATAAAATCTTGAAAACGAATTTAAAAGGAACACTGTCACTATTAGTTTACGAGTTTAGTATAGTCGACTAGCTTGTCCAAATCGAAATAATTTAAAAAATGCAAATTGACAGTTCACGTTTAGGGTTGACAGACAGTTGAAATTTACTTTACTCTACTTATTTACTAAACACAGAGCTCAAACATCTGTCAAGAGTTGTCAAAAAACCTGTGCTTTTTTCAGCTTGCCGTTGCCACTTTTTTTCCTTCCTTATTTTCCACTACAGGATTTTCAAATACGTAAATAATGCATTTAATAATACACCACAAACCATATTCTTTATTGATTCAGTACTTAGAAATATAAAAATATTATCTGATTACCATATTACTATTAAGAGATTACCATATTACTATACTTTATTGTACAGTATTTCCACTACTTGAAAAACATGACTGTAAAATGGTAACACTAAACTAAAAAGTAAATTAAAACAATCAAATAAGCTTAAATAACTTAGACGATAGTTACTGACTTAGATGATAGTTTCAAAAAACCTATATGTTAACTGGAATTAGTTGTGGTGGTAATTAATGACATTTTAAGGCGCTCAAATTATACTCAACTGCGAATTCGCCATTGTTCTTTATTAATTGGTACTCATAAAACATATTGAAATAAAAAGTTACGATTTATAGATGTTTTAGTTTAAAATTATAAACTTTAATTCTTAAATTAAATACTTCATAAAAATAAAAATGATTTTATTTGTTCAGTTCCATTTAATTATACAAAAAGCATAAAATTTAAGTGAAAAGAACTATTTAATAAATAACAATTATCTATTTATAACGAAGATGATCTCTGGTTGGCAAGTCCTTTGATAAAATACGATTTGTAAAATAAATCAATCAGTCTTTACCTCCACAACGATTAAAATGTACCAACACTAAAATTAAAATCATGGAAAGTAACCGTTTTACGCGATTGTTTAAATTATTTGTGGAAATGTAAAGTTAAATTTCTCCCATTACTTCAATTTATACAACTGAGTGTTATAAATTATTACTTATTTAAAATATGTCTAACTTAAATAAGAATTTTTAAATGTTTCGTTCAAATCGTGCAAAGTTGCGTTCCCTAATCACTATAAAGGTGAGCGTCAGGCGTGCGTCATGCACTTCTTATATTAGTTTTAGACCGCCGAAACCGTTAATGTGAAATGTTTATTATATGAAATAAAAAAACGCTCTTGTCTTTTTTTTATATTTTAGTTACGTATTATTTCGCATTATTGTGATAGGTAACTACGGAACCCTAGATTGGGCGTGGCTCAATACGCACTCGGCCGGTTTTTCAACAAGACAAGACAAGGACAAGAATCAATCCATGTTGGTTAGTTATTATTACTCTGTGGGCAACCCAAATAGAAAATGGCAACAGAACCCCTAAATACGTCATAATTGACGAAGAAGGAAGTCTTTGTTTTGCATTGCAAAAACGATTTTGGAAAGTAATTATTACGTTGCGCTTAAGATTAAATATAGTAAGTTTGTTAACATACATGATTTCTAAGTCTTAAAATGGCTCAGTTATTAAACTTTATTTTAATATTCAAAGACCACTTCCGTATATATAAGGGTAAAATAATTGAGTGCATCGCTTTCAATATTGATGTCTAGGTTTTCCAATAAACATTATTACGTAGGTACCTACTATCTGGTAGTCTCTCTTCTCTGGGAACAAGATGATGTTGAGATTTTAATACATATTAATCTTCATAGTTTTAAAATATGATTTAGCTATTATCAATCTATGATGACTCATACATCATTAGTGAAATCAGTAAACTAAACCTGTGTGCATCACTTTTTAATGTTTTAACATGTCTACGATTTATAAGTAGATGAAATACTCGCTTTTAAACATTTAATACAACTTTCTACACAAATTTACTTATTAAATTATACAATTTCTATTTGTTTAAAAATATAAGAAAGCATAGTGATACTCGACCTAGGGGCGTTTGAGATAATCACTCATTGTATCAGTGTAAAATGTAAACGATAGTGTATTGATGCAGCAGCTCACCATTGTATGACATACATATATATAACAATATAATAAAAGCTCAATTTTATTTGGTTAAATGATGTCTTTTTATATTTTTAGAACCACTATGACTTCAGGACCATACAATTACTCATATATATTTAAATATATTATCATTGGAGATATGGGAGTTGGCAAGTCATGTTTACTTCATCAATTTACAGACAAGAAATGTAAGTGTGTTATCATTTGTAACAATTTTCTATAAATATTATATCCTACATAATATTGTTAGCAAAAAGTGGTTTTCACCGTAATTAATTAATTAAACAAATACAAGACGATATACATTTTGTAGTTGTAATAATTGTTCTTTTAATGAATCCCAAATGAAATTATGTTCTTCATGTATTTTCAGGTTTTTTTTACTTGCAACTACTTTATAGGTTAAAATCCAATATATATCAGTTAAATACTTGAAATACATAGTATTCAATGGTACATATGTTGCTATAATTTCTGTAAAGGAACCTGTTGTGACTGTTATGCTTAGTAATATTTAGACAGACAGCACTTAGTTTGTCCTTTTCACATACTAAGAATTTGATTCTGTGTATTCTGTGTGTGATTCTTATATGTTAAGAAAATTCTTTGTACCCCATTTTTAACAAATATGGTGCAAGGAAGCATATTTAGTTTGGAATTCTTGATGTTTATATGTAGAGGAAGTCACCAAGAGCCTCTAATAATCCTCTGTTGGTCATAGGCTTCTCCTTAGAAAAGAGGTCTTGGCCTATGATACAACGCTGGCAAGATGGTTTATTATAGGGTTTGTTTCAAGTTTTCCTTCTCTTGGAAGTGCTGGTGTCCTGCAAAGTTTGTTCCCATAGTTGGTTCTTACGACACCCATGGGATGAATAGGGGTGGTGACACTCTGTATATTTAATTTGTCACCACACAGACTTTTAATTCCTCACTACTCAGATAAAGAAGAACCACATGGACGTAGAAGAAGTGCAGAATACTAAAACTTTTAAACACATGTTCTATTATGGAAAGTGGCTACAAAAAGCTATTGGGCCAGTATAAATACTGGCCCAATAGCCTATTAAGCAAAATATGACACCAGGCGGTCTCTAGTTTTGATAAATAACTGTTTCATATTCTGGTATATTATGAACACATTGATTCAAGACACAGACCAGATTATATTTTTTTGGAATGAAGTGCCTTATCGCGTGTTACTTGATCGTAGAGTATGTTTAAGATAGCTAATGGCAACACTTTAGCACCTGCTTGCAGTTTGTTTCAATTTTGTAATAAAATTTCCTTTTTAAAATCATGGTAAAATATCAACCACTGGTCAATACTAGTAAAATAAATTATTTAATAAATGACATTCAGGATACCTACAATGGTTTCCAGAACTTGGCTCATTAAAGTTCAATTGTAGGTAGATCACAGCATGTATTCCTAATTATAATTTATTAATGTTGTTAATGATTTGCAACCCACTATAAATAATGATGTCAGATTTACAATTAATGCAAAACTTTATTTGATGTTAAGGAAGAAAACATTGTGCAAATTATAAAGGAATTTGCCTTAGTTGAAAAATACTGTGAGGGGAGAATGTACAACCTCAAAGAGCTTGTTTATTGATTGATGTTTATGAAACCTTCTGGATGGATTACCTATACTTTAAATAATTTACTAGCTGTTAGATAAAAATAATTTTAAAATTTACTGTATAAAACATATCACAGCAACAGCCTTTAATAGTCCACTGCTGGACAAAGGACAGGACAGGACACTACTATACCATGCTGGGCAGACGGGTTGATATAGGGCTTGTTTCAACGAGGCGGGTAAATTGTTTGAGAGGGTTCTCTCTGCCCGCATCGTCCGGCACGTCTACGAGGTGGGCCCCGATCTGTCGGACGCCCAATTTGGTTTTCGGGCGGGGCGTTCGACAGTCGACGCTGTTTTGCGCCTGAGGGCCGTGACCGAAGAGGCCGTGAGCTGTGGCGGCGTGCTGTTGGCGGTGTCATTGGACATCGCCAACGCATTCAATAGTCTGCCATTCAGCTGCATCAGGGAAGCACTCCACTATCATGGGGTGCCAAAGTACCTGAGGCGGCTAGTGGTAGACTATTTAGAGGAGCGTACCGTCGTGTGCGAGGACCGAGATGGTAATTTGAGGTGTCGGCCGGTGAGGTGTGGAACATAGGGTACGACTGGGCCCTTCGAGCCGATTTCCCCCCCCTGGCTGGGTGCAATTTGTTACGCAGATGATACTCTGGTTACAGCCCGGGGGGCGAACTTCCAAGAGGCGGCGCGCCTGGCCACAAGGGGAGTCTCCCTGGTGGTCGGGCGCATTGAGGCGCTGGGCTTACGGGTGGCCCTAGATAAAACGGAGGCTCTGTTATTTCATGGGCCCCGTCGTGGTCCACCCCCTGGCGCCTCAATCGTGGTCAACTCGGTCCTCGTACCGGTTCGGGCCCAGATGAAATATCTGGGCTTGATCCTCGACGGAAGGTGGCTCTTCGACGAGTACTTCCGACAGCTTGCTCCAAAGCTGGTCGGCGCTGCGTCTGCCCTAGGGCGACTTTTGCCCAATTTGGGTGGACCCAGCGTCGCGACAAGACGGCTGTACACGGGGGTTGTCCGGTCAATGGCACTATACGGTGCACCGGTGTGGGCAGCGGCTCTGACCGCCCAGAATAGGGTTCGCCTCTGGCGCCCTCTGAGGGTAATGGCGGTCAGAGCCATACGCGGTTACCGCACCGTTTCGACGGAGGTGGCGTGCGCGTTGGCCGGAACTCCCCCGTGGGATTTGGAGGCGGAAGTGCTCGCCGAAGTTTATCGGCGAGTGGCTGACTCCCGGGCGGATAGCGGATTTCGCCCTCCGCCCGCAGACGTGCGCGAGTGGCGCGAAGCCGCTCGCCGAGCCACGATGGCTCGTTGGTCGTTCCGGCTGCAGACTCCACGCGCTGGCTTCGCCGCGGCGCGCCTTCGTCATCGCCGAGTGGGCAGGGCGGCAGCACGGGACCCTTACCTTCCGGCTGACGCAGGTGCTTTCCGGGCACGGTTGCTTCGGAAAGTACCTGCACTCGGTCGCTAGGAGGGAACTGAGTCCCGCCTGCCACCACTGCGACTGCAGTGAGGACTCGGCCCAGCACACGCTGGCGGTCTGCCCCGCATGGGCGACGCAGCGCCGGGCCCTCACTGCAGTCATCGGAGTGGATCTCTCGCTACCGGCCGTAGTACGCTCCATGGCCGGTAGCGACAGTTGTTTTACCGCGGTCGCAACCTTCTGCGAGGAAGTAATCTCGCAGAAGGAGGCGGCGGAGAAGGCCCGGGAGGACGACCTCCACTCGGACCCGATCCGCCGCCGGCGAACCGGGCGGCGGCGGCGCGCTCACCTGCGCCTCATGCCGCCCTGAGTGTGGCCGCGGGTGGACGGGGTGGGTTTCCCCTCCACCCGCATTAGTTTGGCCAGCCGCGAGGGGGCGGCGTCCGCGTGTGCCGGACGTCGCCTAAAAAGAGAGGAAAATTTTGAGACGGAGTCCGCAACAGGAGCGGGCCGGCGAGGGGATTTCCACACGTTAAAAAAAAAAAAGGGCTTGTTTCAAGCTTTCCTACTCCCAGAATCTTCTCCATTTATTACTAACATCCCTAATTACCAATGATTTCGTTTCTTTTTCACAGTTATGGCAGATTGTCCTCACACAATTGGAGTGGAATTTGGGACTCGTATTATTGAAGTAGCAGGCCAGAAAATTAAACTGCAGATTTGGGACACTGCCGGTCAAGAAAGGTTCAGGGCTGTAACTCGATCTTACTACAGAGGTGCTGCTGGAGCATTAATGGTATATGATATTACGAGAAGGTAATAGAATATGTTTTGTTAGTAAAAGTCTTTAAAAAATTTAAAAAATCAACAGAATGAATGAAAAAGGGCTCATTTTGCAAAACTGTTTATATGAGAAGAGTTCCATTGTCTATGTTATCACTATCCATCTTACATTAGTGTATACACTCTTCATCTTAGTTTTTTTTTTCTACTGCGTATGCCATATCAAAAGGTAAAATAAATATTATTATACAATACCAGTTACAATTAGATATGGAAAACACTGACCAACTGGTTGTTTGTGGCAACTTTTAACTTTTTTTTGTATAAACTGCTTAAGAAGAGAGCTATCCTTTTATTTATTTTTTCTTTATATATGAGTAGTATATGTTATATATTTTAACCTAGGTGAATTATTAGGTCACTTACAGAACACGAAAAAATTAAATTATAACATCACATTACATTTTTAGCTGGTTCTCTCTACTTCGTTCGCGTGGAATTTGAAAAACGCTGCGTTTAGTGGGTTCGATTCCCGGACCGGGCAAAATTTTATAGGGTTTTTCTGAGAGAAAAAATAGCCTAAATTACTCCTTATAAAGACACGTAGCCGTGGTAGTAAAATGTTATCTATATCGGTCCGTTTTGAAGACAAACAAAAAATATTTAAACTGGTTTTTAGCCATGGTATCATGCAAATATACAATGTGTGTGAGCATGAAAAACCCCTATTATTTTGACATTATTACATACAGACACTTCAATTTTATTTATTTGTATAGATTGGTTCTGGCTTTTTCCAATAAGCAGTAGTAGAATTCAGACTTGTATATTATTTAATAATATATGTATGTTGTTGTGATGATGTTGTATATATTTAAAAAAAAAGTTGTGAAATTTGCTGAGGATCATCATCATAAATAAATAAATATTTAAACTGAATCTGTAACAGATTTTTTTTAATTGAAGAAGTATGTTTTTGATATTTTGGATTGTATATGGTTTTTTTTTCCAGGTCTACTTACAACCACTTAAGTAGCTGGTTAACAGACACTCGCAATTTGACCAACCCAAGCACTGTGATATTTTTAATTGGCAACAAATCTGATTTAGATGCTCAAAGAGATGTAACATATGAGGAAGCTAAACAGTTTGCTGATGAAAATGGACTGATGTTTGTGGAAGCAAGTGCTAAAACGTAAGATTGATTTGTTTAATTATGGCAGACTATTTTTCTCTTTCTTTCTCAGACTTACAAGTTGTTTCTTTTTTTACCGATAAAATTAAAGATCTTCAATAGTAGTAGTAGAGAAGTTTTTTTCTGTTTGGATATCGTGGCGAAGCAAACGAAACGCACACCGGCAAAGTTCTGGTGACGGAACATTATGTGGTTTAGTCGGTTCGAGTCCGACACAGCACCTTACCGTATGGCCCCGATTAGATGGTTTCCACAAAAAAAAAGGCACTACTTCACGCCTGCACTCTTATTAATGTTAAATTATACAGGTTTAGTAAAAAGTTACTTTAGTACTTCAATTTTTCCTTTATCTATTTTTCGCGTCAGTTTTGTTACTTATTCATTAAGTCTCATCAATGCGACTACAATCTGCACATCAAAGCGTATCAGGGTACAGCTAGTTGTATATATAGTTGTAAAGTCTAGTCGTTAAGTCCGATTCTAATAACTTAAACAGAAATTTATATGTACAAAATCAAATTTGATTATGAACCTATTTACAAAGTTGTGTATATATATTTCATGATAAGAATGTCATTATAATTCTATTCTCTCTGTTTTATGTTAGACTATGTATGTTGTCTTACAAATAAGAACAATAAGGTACCTAGATCTACAATCTCAACGTTAAGTGCAAAGTCATTAATAAGAAACACCTCATTTCCGCCATTCTACTCTGTATCTTTTTCTTTACAATTAAACCCTATATCTTAGCAGGTCAGACCCACTCCAAACAGCTTCGATTTTTCGAGCCCATTGCCTAGTGGGCTGCCTACGCGCCGACCGCACCCTAGTCGCATCTGAAGGTCCATTCTCGTAAAAAAAATCTGTTCAAAATTTAGTTCCGAACTACTCTCGATCTCTGTGATAAAGTATTGATCATCCAACGTTGTAATGTGATTATATCATAGTGTGACCGAAAATTGAATGTGTATTTTGCTTATCTTAGTATAGTAATACTCAATAACGTCACGTCGTTCTTTGTCGTTTAAATTGTACCGTATTCTGGTACCTAAAAATAGAAAAAGGATTGGCACCTCACGTTTTTATCATACTACCAAACCTCATAGTTTATCAAAAGTTAATAAAGTAATGGTAACATTATTTTTTGAAATTAGGTAACAATACAAATGTATTAAATTTAAACATGTAAGTAAATAACATACTACCCACAACCAAGCTGACGCTTAGATGTCATTACACCTATTAAATACGTACTTATCTATCTATACTTCATTAACTCTTTGACCGCCACGTCAGTAACGAAAAACTGCTCTCTACGCCCAGTATCAAATTCCTTGTTTCATATCTACAAAATAATAGTGACGGGCAAAATTATATCAACAAATTAAACAATAAAATACAAAAAAATGCTCATACCATTGAAATTTTATTAAATTTCATCCATATTTTATCTCACTTCTCAGCGAAGTAATCATAGACCGAAGTAACAGCTTTAGATAAGAGCAGATTTAATAATAAAAAAATTTTACATGACAGAGTAATCTCTTTTGTAACGATATTCACTGGCACCTGGCAACACTTCTTGCAGGTTCAAAAATTTATGTCTTGTGGGTATTTTCATAAAAAAAAATCTACCGGTACATGTCAACACTCCTACTAACAATGCTGCACTCTCCTATGACGTCAATGGTTGAATAAGCTATCGAGGTTAACTAATGTAAATGGAAAACCATAATGTGAAAAGGAATCTAATTTATTTACTACAAACAAAGATTATGGTGCTAATTCTGTTGTTGACAGAACTAAACTAAAATATCTCTAAAATTCTCTTATTTTAGTAAGCGATTTCCAAAATGCTATTCTGTTGTCAAGTCAAACTAAATTTGGTGTTCAATTTGAATGTGACATCACTAAAAGGAAAGTGTTACCGTTGTTTAAAATTCAGAATGAATGATAGTGAATTAAAAAAATCTTTTGAAATGATATTATTATGATTTTAAAATTCCTGTAAATGATTATTAATGCATATAATAGATCAAATAGTAGTAGTATAGTAGTTGCTGTGAATGTAACGATGATGACATATGTTCATTTCCTTCCGATTAGGCACATTTCGATTCCTACTTGCATGTTTATAATGTTTCAGAGGTCAAAATGTAGAGGAAGCTTTTCTCGAGACAGCTAAGAAAATATATCAGAGTATTCAAGACGGGCGACTGGACTTGAACGCGGCGGAGTCGGGCGTGCAGCACAAGCCGGCGTCGCCGGGCCGCCCGCTGGCCGCGCCGCCCGCCGCGCGCGACAACTGCGCCTGCTAACCGAACTCGGATATATAGACGTAAAGGAAAATCATACTTATCGGTTAAGAATTATTATCCTAGAAATAAATTTGATTGTCATAAATTCGATTTTGTTTTTGACATAAATTAAATTAATGTACATTCCACGTTATATTTGTTTTGAGAATGTATATGGGCTACTGGTAAAATATTGTTAGCGACATTGGCGATTTATGGAGTCTACATGACAATGTTTTCGCTGTAAATTTATGAGTTCAAAATGTCATTGTTGTAAATGTATTATTATTTATTATTTACACAATGTTTGTAATTTTGTATAGGTATTTTATAAGTTCAGATAGTTCCCGTGAACAAGTTTATATTAAATCAATTCAAATATACTATTGAAGTGAAGCTTCGGTTAAAAAGTAGTATAGTATTAGTAGAACCAGGCCGAATATTGGGTACAGGATAAAGAGCGTTAGAGTAAAAGGGAGAGTGGGCGTTTGATTAAAGCGAGTTACATAATATGCACATAATTGTCACCTTCTAAATCAAATTTAGTGCTTATATCATTTAATCTCATTTTTAGTCTTTCATAATTTTTTTAAGTGTCAAGATTAAAGTAAACGCATGGTATTGCTGACCGAGATTGAGCTGAACACAGATGTTTAGTACTTTATCGTTAATATACAAATAAATGTATGCTCTCATCATGTACATCTTAGAGATCGCTAAGATTAATAATAATTTGCTAACATTAATCGAAAAAGCAAGTTTTGTATAAGAGTAATATTGTAAGGTGCACCTTTTTCATATATGTTTTTACATTTGTTTTATCTCTAGAAACACGTATGATTTTGTATAACGAACTGGATTTACTTAAGTGTCGAGCAATAAATATGAACCAATTTCATGTTTATTATACTCAGACCTTGACAAATTTTCAAGTTATTCGACATTAACATTCGAATATACACCTGTAGTCCATTCGCATTAAGATAATAGTGACGCATCGATTAAGCCCCGCCTCCAGACCAATAAACTTTCGTACGTAACGATAATTTCTCTTAACCTGATTGGTCAGAGGGCGGGGTTAATCAAGTATTTTTTAATGGACTACAGTTGAGTTCACAATAGTTATCTTAAACTAAACGTAAACAAGAAGCCCAGTTTAGTACTCGTTAATTTTAACAATAGTGAAACACCGACTATACCCATAGTCTTGCTACATAGATTAACTGTATACATTAGATTTCTTTCTCGTAGATCCTAAAGTTAACGTGAAATAACTGGAAAATTGACAAAACGAACTAAGAATTTGTCTAGCTAATATATATATATATATATATATATAGAGAGAGAGAGAGAGAGATCAATATAAGGGCCTTACATACAATGTCGTGGAACTTGGTGGTCTTACTGCGTCCGTGATGCAGCCCAATATTAGTACAATGTGTGAGCGACAGATGTGTATTGTAATCGGGTACATGGGTAAAAATCGGGTAGTTGTACCTTTATCGTCCAGAGGTCGCGGGTACTGCATTATTTGTCCGCGTCTCAACATTCGGCCAATCTGAGTAGGCTCGGCCTAAACACAAAGTGAATGCGGATTGTGTTACGCGCCTGTCGCCGATCCCTTGCATACCTCGAGGTATTTGGTGTAACATTACATACTTTAACCTTATTCAAGCTATACTTTACAAGAGATTTTCTCTTGGGATGAGATCGACCAATGTGCATTTTATGTTTAAAATATATTTATTCTTGTTTTCGGTGTACGAAAATATTATATTGTAAGTTATCATTTTAGGGTTTTATTTGTTGAGCATAATTAATGTAAATACCTTTTTTTCGCAAGTCGCTTCCTCAGTTGCCTATCTTGCAATCATTGGTTATCTCAATTATTATGTATGAACATATTACAAGATGTATAAAACGTTTTTTGGAAGTAGATCAACAAGGAGCACTGCTGTGAATCATACAGTTTCTTAGATCAGTGTATTGTGATGAATAATGAAACAGTTAATGATAAATATTTATTGTAAAGCAAAAAATACATTTTGATTTCACTTGAATACACACTATCAATTTAAAACCATTTTGTTTGCCTATATTTTATTCCATCACCTTTTTAAAACTACATTACACAATAGTATAGATGCCACAACCAAAAACTAGTTTTAATTGCATTAAAATATATAGAGAGATGTGTTCTTCACTATCTGTTAGAGCATTTTCCATAGAGTTTATACAGTCTAGAATGTGCAGTGTCCATCTTGATTTAAACTGGATCGTAAACTATTATGTACAATAATTATATTTCGATTTTAGTGAATCGAGACCACATGAACGAATCGATTTGTATAGCAGCCAGCAACACTAAAAATGGCTTGTGTCACCATGTGTACATAGGGGCTTAATCTCGATAGTATTCGTTTCGGGTACCTGGGTTTGCTGGAATTGCATGAGCCGGAGATGATGAATTAGAGCTTAGTTTCAAAGTAGGTTAGTTTTAAAAGGTATTGTACCTTGTAATCAGTTGACAGTATGTTTAAAAATAGAAATAAACTATTTAATTAAATTGATCTATTGATAGAAAACCTAAAATAATACAAACGAAGAAGAGGTAATTGGTAATTTATTTTAATTTGAATTTGCGATTTTTTTGTCAGTTAGTCACGTCATTGGAAACACCATTCAAAAAATTGTCGCAATCGTGCATACCCTGACAGCTGATAACCAATAATATTTATGTATTTCCACAAATAATTCAAACAGCTGTCTTGCTTGTCTTGTCTGACATGAATAATAATTTTGGAAATTCATATCGCTTACGTAGATAAGCGATATGAATTGCCAAAATTTCGGATATTTATTCGTCTGAATACAAAAGTGACAATTTATGTGTGAGTGCAGAACTAATTTTCCACTTATAATGTCCCAATGTCTAAGTGGCGTGCAATGGGAGAGGCCTATGTCCCGCAGTGGACTGCGATAGGCTGATGATGAATGTCCCAGTTAATTGTTCTTCGTACGATGACGACATCAAGTGATCATAATGCAGCGTTTTTGGGGCATATTTTCAATTTAAATTCAAAATATACTTTTGTTTGATTTAAGTATAAAAGTATGAACTAAATATTACTTTACTGGTATTATTTGTAAACACAACTACTTTTCAAAAATAGTTAAAAAACTGTTTTTGAAAAGTTGTCACTCCCGGATTATTGTCGCGTTTAAGTCCCGATCTACACATCTAATGTTGTATACACCGCGAAAGTTTAAAAAACAATAACACGTTTTTACATTATACCTTAAGTAATATAAAAATTGCGAAATAGTTACCACTATGCATGAAATGAGAAATATTACAATAATACAGGCAAGTATTGGGCGCCACTTCCATTTAGTGGGAAAGATAAAAATAGTCCACGAATAAAGAACTTAAGTTTACATCATATTATTTGCAATAACTCAAAAAATGATTTTTTTTTATGAAATGCATAACTAAGAAACAAAAAACACTACCACAACAAACATCCCTTTATCACATTTCCACAATTTAACCTGTACCTTTAGTTGACTAAATACTAATTTGAGTTATTTACCCTGTTCTTTTAAGCAAAAAACATGCATTTCACTCTAAGAATATAACTTGAAGTGACAGTTTCAAGAATAAACAAATTAAAGCTTAGAAGGAGTATTTTGTACAAAAAGGTTTTGCATATCTTCTAGAGATTTTTCCAAGGCTTCTTTGTATCCAAAAAGAGCAGTGTCAGGATCATCTTTGAAGGTAGATATACCAAATATGATATTGTCATTGCGTGGATTGTAACATGTTGCATATCCATCATTTACTAACGGACCGTAGCACATAAATGCTTCAGACTTAAAAGCAACCTAAAATAAATAGTTAATTAGTGAAATGTATTAACAGAGCGAAATGAAATTTAAAACAAATGATTAACATTGCACGAGTCTAGTGCAATTGTAACATATCAAATAAACTAATATAAAAAATATAATAAATATTAACAAAATCTACTTAATCTTGCGTTTAAATATTTGGTATGAATTCATGTTACCATCAAATATTAAAATAATGTAATGGGTTTTTATGCAATTTTATTACATTTACATTCGTTCGCTGACTGTTACGAGGTTTTACTATTGTTGCATCATAGGATTAAATAGTTCTATACTAGGAATAATAATTCGATTCCACATTTGACATTAGCTACTGTCATTTTGTAAAATAATGATACCACATATAATAGTGTAGCGATGAACACAAAAATATGTTTATGTAATCATAATATTGGTGTGCCAATTAAAGACTAAATTATTGATTTTTATTTAAATAAATACATAATTATTCATAATAATTAATTATTAATTAGTAACCGCTGCTTTATTTTATAAAAAGTTAATATTTTAGTTTTTTATAATAAAAACAAAACTTATAATAAAAGAGCCTAGATAGTTTTCTGTATTGGCAACTCGTGCGCGCTCGTGCAGCTATCGCAATTTTGTTTATCTTGTCATTCGGCTTCATTCTCCCAGTCTGTCTGCACGAATATCTTGTTTAATTGCGAATCGATATTTTGATATTTTGTTGGGTTTTGTTACGTTGTGTTTGTTGTTACGTTTATAGTTTTTTGTGAACTTTAAGTGAATCTATTTGTTTTGGTTTTCCATCAAAATGGATCCTCAGCCAAGTACATCACAAAAAGACGTGGATGTTTTCTTGTCCCCAAGAAAAAAACGTCCACGAAAAGCTTTCACTGTTACTGAAAAAGTAATGATCCGCAACGCCTACAAGTAATGATGACAAACTATGATGAGATGAATGCAGTTTGTTTTGAAGAGTGGTTCGCTGGAGTCTTACCAAAATTAAGACCAAACTCAATTGTGGTGATGGATAATGCAACCACTCCCGAAAATTGGAAACGGCACCAAAAATGAGCTGGAAAAAAGCTGCCATTGAAGACTGGCTTTTGAATAAAAATATTCATTACGAACCAGAAATGGTTAAAGCTATGCTTTTAGAACTGTTTCCACATAACGAGTCTTTTAATAAGTACGCTGTAGACGAAATGGCAGCACAACATGGGATCACGGTTTTAAGACTGCCCCCTTACCATTGCGAGCTGAACCCTATCGAATTGATATGGGCGCAGGTAAAGGGGCATGTAGCTCAAAATAATAAAACCTTCAAAATGACAGACGTGCGAAATTTATTTGAGGAGGGCATTCAAAAAATTACGGCTACCGAATTGTTTAAATGCGTATCCCATGTTGTCAAAGAAGAGGAAAAAATGAGTAGGCTAGATATGTTAATTGACAATATCACAGACACATTTATAATAAATGTTACAGAAAGTGATAGCGATAGCGATGACGGCGACGATTTATAAAATAAAATATTACCATAATACATCTATTTGTTTTATTTCTCATGTTCCTTCATGATCACATTTTTTTATTTATTTCACACACAATTATTAAAGAAAACTCTCAGATCCTTAATAAAATTAATCGTCATAACTAAATTATCCGTTCAGAAATATTTAATTTCCTGATATACTTAGTTTCTATTAAAGTAGTAGTTGTTTAGATATACTACTATAAACGAGAGGAATCGATCCGGAAATATTCCATTTCCGTATCGAATAATTTCGCAACGTCACTATTTAGTACTTGTCATAACGTTGCAACACTGAATATGTCAAATCTGGAATCGAATTAAAAGGTATACTAGTGGTCGTTAGTTTATGAACAATCGAGAGCTGTATGGTATCTTGAAGATGGCGCCATCTAGTATCAAGTAATGTACACTGAAAACTACGCGTTGAGATTATGGTTCATAATTCCGATACTTGTAGCGCCATCTAGTGTCGGGTAACGGAAGATTATTGGTACTGGAAATTCCTTATTTTCTGGAACGCTCTCTAGAATCCTAGGAGTTATTCTACTTTTTTTATTAGTAATAAAAGAGGAGCGTGTTGGCCTTACGGCAGAGTACTATATTTAGGAGACAGCGGATTAACACCAAAGCGATATTCTAGTGCGACCAAGGCGTTAAGGCAATGTTTATAAAAGTGAGTGTTTATAAATACACTGTTTATTTTAGTAATTAACCGCCTACTTTTATTTTTCGAATTCCCGGCTCGTACCAAAGTGGAATCAAAGTATGCCGGTTTCACCAAATGAAGACACGGAAGGTATCCGTACAAGAAGCCTTGCACCCGCAAGGGTCTAACCAAAGGCGAGGTGCACAACTGCCTAGATTGGAGGAGCAGGCCCGTCGCTTAGAAGAGCAACTGCAGCGCGACAAGGAGGACCAGGCCCGCCTTCAGGAGGACCAGATGCTTTTGTAAATGGGCATTCATGAGACCAAAGATTCATTCATGAGAAGATAAGAAATACATGATCGGCAAAGATCGTGTTCTTCATCACCAGAACTGTTTTACTGGAGCCAAAACCCAGATTGCTGACGTGAAAAGGGCGTTAGAGAAGCTAAGTTGGAAACCGCGCGGCAACAACAGTAACTACTGTTCCTTTTCTGTTCAAAGTGCAGCCGTTTGATGGAACATCTTCTCTTCATGAGCTGTTATGACGGCGAACGGTGGACAAAGGCCCAGTGTCGAGAATCAAACCTCGATCCTCGACATTGCGATGGGCCGGTGCTTTCAATCGCCTTAACCGCTAGCGAACGGTGTGCGGCGCAGGTGACAGGGGGCAAGGAGAAGCGGGGCCTCGGGCGCAACGGGCTATGACCGCGCTCACCTTGGGTCTCCGAGATCAGGCCTACCTGTACTCGAAACTGGTGGAATGTACCTTAATAGGAATATACCGTATGCTTCCCCCGTGGAATGTACCGTAGCTTTCCTCGTTATAATGGGCATAGCGTACAATAATAGTACAATACTAAATGTTGAGTATGTTATCGGAAATATACCTGACTGGTTGATATTCTCATATGTGTGCTTTTTTTATAGCTGATGTCTTTATACAAATCGTGTATTTCTAATCCATTTTCTAATGCGATTAGTTTTAAACCTAAAAGATGTCTGTCCACACCTTTTCCCTGAAGTGCCTGCAACAAAAAACACAATTAATAGAAGCTGTATGATGTGTTTGAGGTAAATAAAGATGTCAAGGGCGCTAGTCGTAACCTATTTTCTGATTTACTAAAAGTTCCTATTTACTATGTAATACTACTATTTATACTATTTTATATAAATAGTATATATATTGACACTATTTTAATGAGTAAGATAGAATAATAAGATTAGATATTATTAGGTCCTTACATATGAAATTAGCGTTTTGTTACTGACCACTTTAATCTGACATATCTCCTCTTTGGTTTAGAATTCCAAATTCAAATTTATAAATTCATTTAGCTGGTACATTTGAGGTTTGAAAACTGTCATTCATTTGTTTTTTCCTCATTATTTTTTTCTTTGGCGTCGCTTATTACCGCACAATGGAAAACATGAAATATCGGTATATTTACGAGTAAGAGTTCTACCGTGGCACCAGTGCTGCAGAAACAGCTCGAAGGATTAATAATGTGTACGGCGCTGGTGTTGCAAAAGAAAGCACGGTACGTTTTTGGTTTCAACGTTTTCGTTCTGGAAATTTCGACCTTCACAACCAACCCGTAGACGGCCGGAGACCATAGTGGAAAATGAAGAATTAAAGGCTATTGTGGAAGCGGATCCATCACAAAGCACTTCAGAGATAGCTGCAGGCTTCGGGGTAAGTGATAAAACTGTATTAATCCACTTAAAGCAAATCGGGAAGTAAAAAATCTTGAACGATAGGTACCTCATGGATTGAGTGAATCGAACTTGCAAACACGCGTCAAATGCTGTTACTTTGCTCAACCGACACAATAATGAAGGGATTTTAAATCGAATCATTACTTGTGATGAAAAGTGGATACTGTACGATAATCGGAAGCGCTCGTCGCAATGGCAGAACCCTGGAGACCCACCCAAATCCTGCCCTAAACGAAAATTGACTCAGAAAAAGTTACTTGTGAGTGTTTGGTGGACTAGCGCCGGTGTCGTTCACTACAGCTTTCTAAAATCTGTCCAAACGATTACGGCAGAAATCAATTGTCAGCAACTGCAAACCATGAAGGAAGAAGTAACTGCTAATCCACCGAGATTGGTCAATCGCTCTAGGCCACAGCTGCTTCACGACAACGCAAGGCCACACACTCCACAACAAACAACCACTAAGTTAGATGAGCTACAATTGGAATGTCTGCGACATCCACCGTACTCCCCAGACCTTGCTCCAACAGATTACCATTTTTTCCGGCATTTGGACAACTTCTTACAAGGAAAAAAAATCAACTTGGATGCGGCAGTCCAACCCGCCTTCGAAGAGTTTATTGCTTCTCGCCCCCATGGTTTTTTTTAGTAAAGGGATCAATGAACTAACTATGAGATAGCAAAAGTGCATAGATAACAACGATGCACTTTGATTAATTAAATATATTTTACAAAAAAGAAATGACTTGACACCCGTACAAAACGCCAATTTCATATGTAAGGATCTTATATATTATATATTTATAATTATTATACGTTATATAAGTTGTGATGCTCGAAATTTGAAAATGGAACGCATATGTGCCATATATTATTAAAAGGCAAATTTATCTGAAAATCCAACACAAAAGACCATTTACAGCAATAAGAAGCATTGAAGTATTTTACTGTCATCAATTCCTCTGCTCTTTCGTCTGCTACAATGGAACTTAAAGATGGACATTTGCGTGCTATGATATATTACGACTTTAAATGTGGTTTAATTTTTTATCTGAAGGTTTAAAATCAGTTTAAAAGCATTTTTAGACTGTTTAACGAATTTAAAAAGGGGAAAACTAGCCTTCAAGATGATGACAGAAGTGAACGCCCGCTAACAGCATTTACTGATGAAAACTGAAAAGAAGCCCGTGTGAAATGGTGCCGTGAGATTCGTCTACGTTTTGACAATGGGAGGTCAAGACGTGTTCCTGAAATCATTACTGGCGACTAAAAATGGATGTATCAATATGATTCGGCAAGCAAGAGGCGTTCCTAGTCGGGGTGTTTCCAGACGGCCAGTTGCCAACAAAATTGCAACGACCGCGGAAAATTGGCAAAAAAATGGTGTCCAGTTTTTTTCGGGGTTTTTAATCTTGCAACATTAATGATAGAGAATTGTATATAGCGGACCGACGGCAATATCTACGTCGTGTAACAGTCTACCGATCATTGACGAGGTCAATAACGATAAAGGTTCATCTCTTTTACATAACTTAATAAACAAATCTATGCATTCTTGTCACTCATCGCCCGTTAATGAGATAGGAACAAATGAGATGGGGCAACTACCGGCATGTGGCAGCGCAGGCGCAGGGAGCGAGAGCGAGACGGCAGGCGAACGCGTATTGCGTATTGCGCTGCGGTTCTAACTACGGTGAATGAAACAGCTGTGGAGCGCACTGACGGCGGGCTTGTGAATGTTATTGTTAGTGATAAGAAGGAAAGTATAACTAATAATGCCCTGTCGCCACCGAAACACGTCTCCTTTTCCGAGGTACTTCAGAGAGAGGGTGAATGGGAAGTACCAGAAAAGAGTGAGGCATGGCTTCTGGTACAGAGACAAAGATTTAGAAATCGATTGATTAGTCAGAGAGTCAGTGCGGTTACAGACACTGGGGAGAAAAGCTTCAAATTTAAAGCGGCGGACACTAAAGTGCCACTATTTATCTCTAATGTGCATAGGGACGTAGCTGAACAAGATATAATTAATTATATATACGAGAAAACGCAGGAAACGGTTTCACTGGTAAAAATCAAAATGAAGCAAGAAAGAACCTATAATGCCTATAAAATATCTGTTACAAAACATAAAATCGCCACGTTTCTGGATGACAAGTTGTGGCCGTCTGGCATATCGTTTAGGCGTTTTGTTAACTTCTACGAGAACAGAGAAAAGAGCAAGGGTCCTGGAAACAGGAGAACAGACAGACCAAATAATGATAAAATTTAATGGATCACAACAGTAAAATAATAAGTTTCAATTGTAAATCTATGAAGAGATCTATACAAGGAAACAGAGCATTGTGTCGGGTGGCCGAGGTTGTAGCTCTCCAGGAGACTTGGCTACTGCCGCACGACCTGCCGCTGCTCAACACGATTGACGACAACTTCGGATACACCGGCACGTCAACGGTCGACACAGCGGCAGGTGTGCTCGGTGGGAGGCCATATGGCGGCGTGGCGCTGTTGTGGCGTAAGAGTGCATTTAAATCTGTGACTGTGGTAGAATGTGATAACGTGCGGCTATGTGCGATTAAGATAACTGCTAGTGGTAGGTCAGCAGTACTTTTTAGTGTGTATATGCCTACAAACTCGTATGATAACCTACCTGAGTTTGCTGCATGTTTCGGTGCGATTAGATCTGTGATTGAAGTGGAGGAGAACAATGGTGTTGAGGCTTTTTATATACTGGGAGATTTTAATGCTCACCCGAATGAATTGTTTTATAATGAAATGCTAGATTTTTGTATAGACCTTAACTGGTGTTGTATAGATTTAAGTATGTGTCCTAAAACTACCTATTAATTTTGTAGTGATATTCACGGCTGTACTAGATGGTTGGACCACTGCATCGTCACAGAGTCAGCTCGGGAGTCAGTTATTTACCACCACCAGACCATTATCCACTCGTAGTGGAATGTAACTTAAGTAAGCTTAAGCCTAAAGTTAAGGAATCGGTACCGAATAAACTTGTAAACCGTGTCATGTGGGGCGAGAGACAGGTACAGCAAATTAATCAATACCATGATATTTGTCATTCTAAACTACGATTGATAGATTTTCCAAAGGAGTTAAGTGAATGTTGTGATAGCTTTTGTGGTGACAGTGAACATCACTTGATTCTTGATAAATTGTATGCGCAAATTACTGACACACTTTCAATAGCAGCCATTCAAACATATAGAAAAAAATGTCGCAGGAAGGGTTGTTATGTCTTTGGATGGAATAAGTACGTAGCGGGCCCACTACACGGCTGTCTATGTTTTACAGCCTGTGCATAGGTCACTCGTATTAGCCGGAGCCGCTTATGCGGACAATAGTCGTTCCTATAGTTAAAAACAAGACGGGAGATACATCTGATATAGGTAACTACCGGCCTATCTCGCTCGCTACCACAACAGCCAAGGGGCTTGACAGTTTGCTGAATAGTAGCCTCAACGAACAGGTTGAGTTGCACGATGCACAGTTCGGTTTCAGAGCAGGGGTCTCAACAGAGAGCGCTATTCTGAGTATGAAGCGAACTGTCGGGTACTACACAGCGAGGAGGACGCTGGTATATGCGTGTTTCCTCGACTTGTCAAAAGCTTTTGATTCGGTTGCCTATAATATACTGTGGGACAAGTTGAGGGATGCGGGTGTGCCGGCGAAGTACACCTCCCTCATCAGATATTGGTACTCTAATAAAAAAAACCGAGTGAAATGGGTGGGTACTCAGTCGGGCGAGTACAGGCTGAAATGCGGAGTTAGACAGGGAGGATTAAGCTCGCCTCTGCTATTTAATATTTATATGAACCGGCTTATCGAGCGACTGAGCGGCACACATGTCGGCGAACCTGTGTTAATAATATAAGCTATGCAGACGATATGGTGCTGCTCAGTCCATCGATAAGTGGGTTGAAGAGGTTGATATCGATCTGTGAGGCCTATGCGGCGGAGCATGGCTTGATATACAACTCGAAATAATTCTACTCATATTTAAAGCGCCTAATCAGCAATCACGCATTGTTCCGCCCATAAGTCTCAACGACGTAGAACTAAACACTGTAAATAGTTTTAGGTACCTGGGCCACATTGTCACGACCGACCTAAGGGACGATGGAGACATAGAGAGGGAGCGCAGAGCATTGTCTGTGAGGAGCAATATGCTTGCCCGCAGGTTTGCTCGTTGTGGCGAGGATGTCAAAGTAACCCTTTTTAGGGCGTTTTGTCAGTCTTTCTACGCGAGCGGCCTGTGGGTGTCATACACGCGACGGGCGTACAATGTCCTGCGTGTTCAATATAATAATGCGTTCAGGATGCTGTTGGGGCTGCCGCAGCGCTGTAGCGCATCAGGTATGTTCGCGGAGGCTCGCATAGATCATTTCTACGCAATTATGCAAAAGAAAGCGGCTTCATCGGCTTCGGCTTCGGATCGCTGCCAGACCGGACTGCCCATTCCAGAAACAATGGGTGGGGACAGTCATAGGTATATACAAATAGTTAATTTAAGTAAAAAATGTAATTACTAATAATACTAACCTATCAATTTAAGCACTATTGTTACTAACACTAAAATACTAACATAAATATGGACCATAAGTCTGAAATAAACTTTATTATTATATTATTATTATTATATTGTAAGTCTGCCAACTCAGAATGGTACACTACAGTCGTATTGCTAAAAGTTTTCAAAGCTGTGCAAGAGGGACGACAAAAGACCGGGCCCCGGGAAATGATGCACGACAATGCGGCTTCACACTCTTACCTCAGAACAAAGGCGTTTATTCCAGATCTTTTTATTGAAACCCTACCTCACCCAACTTACAGCCCCGACTTAGCTACTTGTGACTTCTTTTTATTCCCCACCATAAAAGATAAGATAAAGGGCAAGTTTTTATCAAGTGCCGATCAAGCGGTGGCTTCCTACGAATAAGCCATGTTTAACCTGTCCGAGGAAAACTGGAATAAGTTTTCCCAAGACTGGTTTATGCGGCTTGAAAATTTCAAAATTTATCTAGTGATATCGATGATTAGGATGAATGCCAGTCTATGTTGGGTATGCCAGAAGGATCGTGAGAGCAAAATTATTGCCGTGGAAATACCTACATTAAAAATGTGTTATTTAAGTTCCAATAAAAGAGTAAGGCCATACCAACCCGTCTGGCCAGCGCGGTGTAGTAGGCCAAAACCTCCTTTCTCAGGAGAGGCCTATGTCCAGCAGTAGACTAGTAAAGGCTGTTGATGAAAAGAGTAAGGAATGATGAGGCAATAAAATGCTGTGATGAGATATACTGAATAAAGGCCAAATGAAAAGGAACTCGTAATCAGCCACCTTTTCTGAAAAGGGCCCACAGAGAGGCAGGCTGTATGTCAGGCGAATAGCGTGTTACTCTCCATTTGGATCGAGTAAGGCCTAAGGCGCCTAAATATGTGTGTGTATATAATAGGGGTTAAAGTTTGAATTGACATAAAACCTTCATGGTGTGAGATTTTCGTGTGAAACTTTTTTCACATGATACCTATGAGGTTCTTCGTTATACGATTTTCGACTTTGAATTGATTTATTTAATTCAGCTTAGACGTGAAAGATGGATACTTCGAAAATCCGAGTCATTTTTGAATAAGAGTTCCGCAAGAACGCGGCAGAAACGGCTCGTAATACCAATGCTGCGTTTGAAGAGGAGACTGCTAATAAACGCACCGTGCGTTTTTGGTTTAAACTCTTTCTTAATGGAAACTTGAAGAACGAACCACGTGGAGGACCGCCCACCAACTGAATAACGCTGAATTGAAGGAGATGGTGGGAGCCGATCCGAGTCAAACTACCCAAAAATTAGCGGCATGGTTTGCCGTTACTCCACCTACAAAAGTGACTCATTTGCATTAATGCAATAAGATAAAAAAATATGCAAAATGGGTTTGACTGATCTGCGGAAAGAAATGCGTGTTGAAACTTGTGTTGCCTTGTTGAATCAGTACAGAAATAAAGGAATATTGGATCGAATTGTGACATGAGACGAAAAATGGTCTGTTTACGATAATCATAACCGAAAAATGCAATGGCTGACCCCAGGTCAAACGCCGCAACAGTGCCTTAAAGCGAAGCTTACCAATAAAAAGGTAAGGTAAGGTGGTCTCTTCATGGTGTTATTCACTATAGCTTTCTCAGGTCTGGCCCGGCAATAACAGCAGATGTTTACTTTGCTGAACTTCGAACAATGATGGCGAAACTAGCAGTGAAACAGGCCCGACTCGTGAATCGAGCTTCACCATTATTGATCCATGATAACGCAAGCCCACACAGTGCTCGAGACACTCTACAGTAGTTGCAATTAGAAACTATACGTCATCCTCCATACTCACAAGACCTTTCTCGAACGGACAACCATTTTTTTCTTGATTTGGCCAATTTTCAACGAGATAAAAAAAATCTTCCCAAGAGGCAGTACAAAATGGCCTTCACACAGTTTGTCGAATCTAGATCCCAAGAGTTCTATCGTAAAGGCATAAATGAACTTCCGTTTAGATGGCAGCAATGTATAGATAATGAGGGAATATGTTTTGATAAAATAATTATGTTACATCTAAGAAAAAAACGAGTTTCAAGTTTTCAGTACAAATCGGCAATTTCATACTTTGACCCCTAATATTTTAGTAGTAAAGATGAGTGAACACTCGTCCCTGTATCCTGTTTCCACCTTGACCGGTTTTTCGATTCGCCTCACGTATATAAGCTTATATCAAATAGGTACCTTATTATTACACAGACTTTGAATTTATTAATTTGTAAGCGTGTCTATCTGTCTGTTGTTGTTACGCTTAAACCGCTGAACCGATTTAGATAAGATAATTTCTTAGATTAATTAATTAAACCGAGATAGATAATTTCTTAATCCGTCTCCGTGTGGTGACGGATTAAGAATACAAATTGTCACCACCCCAATTCATCCCGTGGGTGTCGTAAGAGGCGACTAAGGGAGCAAACTGAGCAGGACAACAGCACTGCAAAGAGAAGGAAAACTTGAAACAAACCCTATACCAACCCGTCTGGCCAGCGTGGTATAGTGGGCCAAAACCTCCTTTCTAAGGAGAGGCCTATGTCCAGCAGTGGACTAGTATAGGCTGTTGATGATTGATGATTTAGATAAAATTTGGTGCAAAGATCGTCCGAGTTCCGGGAAAGGATATACGGCAGTTTTTATCCCAGAAAACATCATTTAAGGGGTTGGAAGTTTGTATGAGGAATCAATAACCGCTGAACCGATTTAGATGAAATTTGGTATGAAGATACTTTGATTCTTGAGGAAAGACATAGGCTACCGTAATAAAAATATTAAATATTTTTACCGTAATAAAGTATTTGTATAAACAAGAATTGCTCGATTAAAGTTAGTGCATCTAGGAACAGGTAGGAATAATTTCATTGTGTATATACACACAATCATACATACTCAGATAAAGACTACATAGATTCGGGTAAATATTTACCTGTATCGTATAATTTTTATGTCCACTGACAGCAGTCTTTAATGCATCAATTCTTTCTTTCGCCGTTTTAGAAGAATCCAACATGCTACGTGCAAATGCAACAGATTCTGTAGAACATGACCGAATGGTTTCTGTTCGTCCTCCTTTATACATTCTTGTTGATGCAGATTCGTAATGAGCACCCGGTTCTCTATGTAACCTGAAATAAAAGTGCATTCACTTATGGAAGAAAGGACCCGTATTGCATTAACTTGAAGTTGGATTAATTACATGCATCTTCTCAGCTTACTTACTTAAGAAGGTAAATCTAAAATGAAAGAGCTAATTTTGGTGTTCTTCAACCACAACGAATCCACAAAAACGATATGAAAACATGACTTCCACAAGATAGCGTTTCAGTAGTGAGAGTTAAAGTAAAGTGATGGCTAATACTTGATGACAAATCTGTGCATTAATAATAACTTTCAATTGTTAGATATTAATGGCAACAAGAGTAGACCTTCGATACGTATACACCGCTCGGTTCAGTTTAACCATAATTGAAAAAATATATAATTTCAATTCCTTTCTAAGGAGAGGCCTAGCAGTGGACTACTAAGGGCTGTTGATGATAATTTAATACAATATTGAATATATGAGACTTTCGCGTGTACGATATATAATATTGATTAATTATAAATAATAGTTTACTTACCTATAGAAAGCATACTGCACGGCCATTTGTATATAACTGTCTGGACTTAGTTTTTGTGATTTAATAAACTTTTTGCCATATTTTGTGAACTTGAAGCAGTGTAAGAAAAGATTATTCGCTAATCTGTAATCATATTAATATTGGACGTTAATCAAAGATTATACTTTAACACTATTATAAAGAGTCGTATTTAAAAAAATCCAACGAACGTATTTAAATTTTGTTCAGCCTCACGAATAAAAGGCTCCAACTCAGATGTAACCTTGATTGCCAAATATTTTGGCTTTATAGGACTCTTCGACGGCGGTGAAGTGTCTTGGTGTTTGTTGCTGAAAATATTTGGTAGGTTATAATTCACGCTAGTAGTAGTAGTAAGTATAGTTCTTGCACTTTATTTGAGTTTTAAGACTGTTATGTAAAACAAAGTTTTTTAAAATAAAAATCATAAAAAAAACTATAGTTATACAAATAATATTAAAAAAAACGTAAAACAAAGTAAAAATCCTAAGATTCATACATATAATCAACAAGAAAATCCGTAAGGAAGGCAATGGGCTGGCCATCTGCTGGTGAATGTTCATAACACATGCCTGCTAATCCCTCAGCACCAACAATAAACTGAAAATTAAATCAAAAATAACTAATTAAATTGAAATGCAATGACCTATTCCAAGTCAAATAGTGTTCAAAGAGAGGAAATACAATACCAGAGACCCAAACAGGATATTATTATTCATACTTTTATACAGAGAGTTTCATTTCCTTTCACAAATACTTAAGCCACATATTCTACCCTTAATTTCTAGGCGATTTGCAAAATATGAACAAAATATATCCAGTAGTTTAGCCACAGGACTCATTTTTGTGTTTCGTAAATTGCAACATCATGTGTACATGCAGTCATAATACATTGACCTCAGGCGGCGATCAGCTGTAGGCGCGGCGCGGTAATCACACGTTGCCGCTTTTACTACACCCGAATCGAACGAAATATGTTGATTATTACGTCATCATGATGCAACACGCGTTTTTAATTAGTTCATCCAGTAAGGACAGTCAGTCGGCCCTTGGCCACCGGCGAGCTTATGCTATTCCGTATCCTTGTAGATGCGCTCACGACAAATAACCGTAATAATGATATTGTTGTTGTTTATGAGATACATATTTGTTTAGAGAAGTTTTCTTGTGGTAATAATTGTTTAGTCTTATTGCTTTCGTCATAATACACGGCAATGGTGTGAACAATTAATGTTATCGTGTGCGCAAGACTTCGTAATGTAAGGAGTCCTGCTAATTTTATTTTGAAAAGTCACTATTAGGTTCTGTGTGTAGTGTAGTGTGAAACTGAGTGCATTATCAGTCTTTTAATTTTATTGGGTTATCGATATCAACATTCATAATGCCGTGAGTGACCTTCACAGCCGCGGAATATCCTGCTATGATGTTAATTTATGGAAAACTCTATCAAAACGCATCTTTTGCTTTACGGACACGTATGGAGTCAATCGTGTATGTCCTACAGACTGCCGAATTTTTGTAAGGGCGGTACAAAGATTACGAGACAACCAAGGTAACTACTTTTTCAAGGAGTGACGCGTACTGCTGGGTCGGAAGCTAGTCGAGCATTCACGAAATAAACACGTGAATAAAATCGCATTCTTTATAAATAGATTTTTAAAAGCAAGTGAAGTGATTGGTAGGTAGGTAATAAGAATGTAAAGAAAGGCGGCGGCGGCGGGCGCCGGCGGCGGCGTCGTTTTGATGTCGCCGACATTGCGACGCTGCCGTGTAGGTACAGTTCACCGACTCATGTTATCAATGGTGTTCTAATTCGGAAATTATTTTATTGTATTTAGTTTGTTCTAAATTTGCATTTCTGTATTTTCGTACTAATTTTTTATTTTTTTATTTTAACCGACGTATATTGAACCGTGTTATCTGTTATTTCATTTTTTGTGATATCTATACCGCCACAGTGTATACATACTAGCGATCCTCCCTGTCTTCGTGTGGGTGCAATACTACTAATACTACTAAGGTGGTGTCACTGGAGTAATTAGTTGAGTAACTATTACTATGATGAGACTATACAACAGGACATCTTTATATGCAATGTTTATAGGCCCGCGCCGCTCCTGCCGGCCGCTGCCACCTAGGGTGGACATACGGTGCGTTAATCCTTTTCGTAAGGTTTAGCCAGCGTTTGCAAAATAAGCGCACAAAAACCTATTTTTACGACTTCACAATATAAATCTTAAAAAAAAAACGTATTTCCTCTACTATAATATGCATGTATTATAATATTGGTAAAAACCGCATTAAAATCCGTTGCGTACTTCGAAAAATCTATGCACACACGCACCCTTCGCACCGAGTGAATGACGTTACAGAGGCTCCAATCTACAACGTAATACTTGAAGGAAGCACAAAATGGAAGGCAACATACTTGTATCTCTTCTCTCTATTTAATAAATTACATAGAGAAAAAAGTTGTGGGCGAAAGCCAGTTTTAAATATATTAAACACAAGAGTCATGAAATTGCCTAAGTGACTGCCGTAAGCTGTATTGAAAGCAAGTTATTTGTGACAAATGTTAATGTCAGGTTTATGAAGGTGACGTACCTGAATGGTTTTATCAAACCAACGATTACCACCGTTAGACTGCGATCCCCCGCCATGAATCGTCTGAGCCCCACCGCGGCTTCTAAGATAATCATCTGTTTCAGATGCCAAATAGCCGCAGGGAGCATCCAAACACAAGGCTACAAGACTCTCGTGAATGTCTTTCATATGTTCTTGGTTTGTACTATCTGAAATCACATCATTTGATCCACCGTTAGCCTAGTGGTCGAAATTCGATCATACCGTAATCATTATTGAAAATGCCAGAAATATGTGTGAATTTTCATGTTTGTAATAGTTGTCCAGTAATGTGTGTGGTGTACGTCTGAAACACTTGCAGCGCTAAGAGGAGTTTTTGAAGATATTTTATTCCTATCACTGAAATTCATCAATGGCAACTAAATAAAAATCCAACAAGATCTAAGAAGCCCAAAATCGATCTAAGTGGCGCGCAATGGAAGAGGCCTATCCTATGTCCAGCAGTGGACTGGCCCATATAAAATGTATGCCGCAAAATCATATTATATAGCATATGAAAACAGTTTTGACTTAAACAGGTAAACCTTAATAAAATTAATAAAAAATAAACCTAAAATATAATCTTTAAACAAATCACTAAAAGCAACAAGTAACTAAAATATTTCATAGTCGTGCTTACCTTTCATGATAATCTGGTAAGATTTGGCCCAGTTATCGCGATGTTCTGACGTTAGAATACCCACTCCATACTCATTATGCAATTGGGAATTATCCATTACAAATATTAATTGTTCTATAATTTGTTTTTCGTTAAGTTGTACATTATCCTCGCCCCAGAGGTCAACGCGAAAGATCTGAAAGCGTAGCATATGTATCATAACACGAGACTGTGATCAAATAAAATTTACAATATGCTGTGCACACCGCTACTTAAACTAAATGTGTGCATAGCTTGTCTTATAGGTGAGAGGGAAACGATTCTGTGACCACTGCCGTTGCAAGGGAGTCATCTGCTCTACCATATACAGTGGATCTTTATTCTTACCCATATTCAATAGGTATAATATGGGTACAAACAAATATTAACTTAAATATTTTATCACACACACGATATTCTAAAATGCCATTTTACCGTTGCTGTTGAAATGATAATATACAGAATCATCTTGCACTTTTATGGACTTATTAATTATTAATATTTTATTATCTGGTAGTTTCCAGGGGCTAAAATTTAATATAAATATAACAGACGTAGACGGTAATTATAACATCGTTACTTTGTGCCTAATCGAATAACAATAGTTTGAATAATATATATAGTAAATATATACATATTTATATATATATACATATATATATATAGTAAAATATACTATTGTATTAATAATATGCAATTTATTAAAAATAACATGGGTGACATTTGCTTCTATCATCTTCTTGGAGCTTTAGTTGAAAACCAATAAACCAATAATCGGTTGTTCTTTGTTATCGTCATCTTTTCTTATCAAAGATTAACGTTTATCAGTGAATACTTTATAGCAGTGTACTTTGACCAACGATAAACTGTTAGTTGTTGCTAGCTTAAAGTTATAATTATATCGGTTTTAATTTAAAATGTACCAAATGTACGTTTAGTATTAAAACTAGTTAATCCATCAGACGTCACCCTGTTTCTAGTTATTGGACTAGAAACGAAGACGGTCCTGTCGAAGGTCCTGGAAAATTTAGGAGATTTTTTCGGATACTCGGATTTTAAAAAATACGTTAAAATATTGCCGGAATTATCAAATCGCTTTCAAGTTTTACGCTTAACACATTTAGATATTGATTTTAATTAGATAGAATATTTTTCTATTTTTGAAGTCTATTCCAGGCTATATTTTACCCAACTAGCTACTTTTGATAAATACAATGTGTAATGCAACAACTAAGAACGCTTGTATCTGACAAGCGTAACTCTCTATTCTGTCATTTGTAAAACCCACTTCAACTTTAACGGACTTCAAAAAAAGGAGGAGGTTCTCAATTCGACTGTATTTTTTTGATTAAACAATTCGAGGTTAGTTGCTTAAAAATTTAGTAGTATAAGCGTTATTTGTTAGTTGGAGGTGATGAATACAAAATTAATGAAATCTCTATAAATAGTAATGATTAGCTTTAGTTAAATGAAATAAACAGTACCCGAACATTGAATAATGTTTCAGTCTTTAATTGCAATTAAGTTTAAATTTATTGATAGTTTAATGTCGCCAATCGGATTTCTATCTTTTCTTAACACTATAGCAAAGTAATGGAAGCTTCTCGTAGTTGACTGGTTTGGTAACAACGCAACGGTAAGGACGTTAAATAAATAGATTTGAAGAGCGCATTCCAGCAAAATCAATTTGTAGGTTGAAATTTATAAGGAGTCCCAAAGAGACTTGTTATTTTTCTTTTAATGACTAAAATAAGAACGCATAGTTATAATTTACATTAGAATGAAAAATAAGCATAGAGATCGTGTCTGTGTGTAGTATGGAGTCTAAATGAGTATATATATAGTATATGTAACAAAAGCGCGTTGAGGATTCTTAACATTTTAGTTTTAAGTAATAACATGACTAGAAATTATATATTTAAGAAACTACTACGAGTATACTAAATATTATTTTTATATTAAATAGGTACCTGAAAAACTTTAAATGTAAAACATGTGCATTAACATCTATTAAACATCGAAATTCTTAAAACTTTTATGGCTTGAAATTTATTGATGCCTATATTGTTTCCCATTATGAAATGGTGATATAACAAAAATTATACCTATCTAGATAAGTTATTATAACGCTGAAATAAAAAATAACGAAAATCCAGGTCTTTTTTACTTTAATATCGATTCGTAGTTAAAACAACCGTTTGTTATTTGAGCTGGCAAGGTCAGCGTCACAACTAGTGTGAAAGGTCAAAGCAATCGAATTTGTTTAAGAATAATAAGTAGGCAATAGTTTATATTATATTACAGTGCAAGGAGTAACATTATTAATAGTTTTAATAGAATTAAAACTCTAATTCATAAAAAAAAACTTTATAGATCTTCATAATCCTTTTGTTGCACTTATAATGCTTTAGTTATTTCACAAAATCATTTTCTGTTGGGTTAACGTTACCGTAGCCCGACAATTTCTTTTTTAATTGGAATATTGAAATGAATATTAGCTACATAATTAGTTGTCTAGACGAGGTAAATGTTGCAATTTATATTGTATTTGTTTTAATTCGAGCCCCTGCTATAGTAACGTTTGTGGGTTTGCTGGATCTCTGAAACGGGTAAGCAGATTCTAATCATCATTTGTACATAACTATAAAAAGAAAATGTCGGGCTGCGGTAACATTATCACAGCAGAAAATGATTTTGAGAAATAACTTTTGAAATACGTTTAGTTTGCCAATAATATTCGGTATTAGGTAACGAAAACCTACCGCCATGTTGAATTAGAGAGAGATTGTGACCAAAAATTAAATAAATTTTTGGTTGATTTTTGTCATATTTTTATAGTAATTTCAAGAACGTTTTGATTTATCTCGTATAATTTGGTCAAAGTCTTGTTGTTAAACTTATTATAGTCAACCGGGAACGGTTCGGTTCAGGAATAAATGTAAGAATATTGAAAGTATACTTAAGGAGAGATATGATAGAGAGGATAGATACAGCTGGAGTCCAGCTGCAGAGAAATCCATACTAATATTATAAATGCAAAAGTGTGGTTATCTGTCTGTTACCTCTTCACACAAAAACTGCTCAACCGCATTTGGTATAGCGATAGTTTGAGTCCCGGCAAGGGACATAGCATAGGGAGCCGTGGGCAAAAGCTAGTTTATAATATGAGCTTTAACATAATAAATGTCTTTCTTACTAACATGGTTGTTATGGAGCACAATGATGTGTCGGCTATTGCTGTGGTACACCAATTTATCTCGTTTCTCAAACGGTATCCTACAAGTGCCAAATATTTTTTTGTACTGATCCATATCCAAAGGGTTTTTGCCCATCATATCCTGAGGAAATTGGTTGCTGAAAAAGCCAATTAAAAATAAATAACTACTTTATTTTTAAATGTGTTATTATTAAATTTTGATTATGATATAATTGTCAACACTGAAAGTTGTCTAAACGACACGGTACTTATCCATGAGATTTTAAACAATCATCGGTCATTAATTGTGTTCAATATAATAGTTTACAAGATGTAATCTTTATTTGGATCCCAAAACTGTAACCAGCCAAACATTTTAACTAAAGATAATAATGTTTTGTTGAACGTTATAGAAAATAGTAATTGTATAAATAATTGGGTAATTAACTAATAATATTATTGTAAAATGACAAATTAAAGTATTTCTACCATATATTATTTATCATCATCATCTCATCGCAGTCTACTGCTGGACACATATTATTATTATGTCTATAATATTTTGACACATCGATGACAGGGTCACAAATAAACAGGCACGCCGTCATCGCGGCGATAAGAAACGTTATGGAGGATTGGCTCGAGAGGCGTCACGGGACCCTCTCAAACCGACTGACGCAGGTGATCACTGGGAAAGGATGTTTCGGGGATCACCTGTGTCTGATCCGCAAGGAGCCAAGCCTGAGTGCCACCACTGCGATGGCCAGACCGTGGACACGGCTCTCCACACGCTGGCAGAGTGCCCGGCGTGGGTTGAGCAGAGGCGAGACCTCGTGGCGGCCACCGGAGTGGAAGTTCTCTCGTTCGATAGCCTGATTGCGGCTATCGTGCGAAGCGAGAGTGCGTGGAACTCTGCCGTCTCCTTCTGCGAGCAAGTGATGCTCGCGAAGGAGACGGCGGAGCGGGACCGGGAGAGGTTAAGAACTCTCCGGGCAAGCCAGGCCCGGGAACGGGCCAGGTACCTCAGGCGACTCAGGCGCCGGAGGTCGCAGAACGACCTCCGTCCTCCATAAGCGCAGGCCTGGGGGTGACAGGTGAGGCCATCTGTTACCCTAGCAGAAGCAGGCAGGGGCGCGTTGCGAAGCGCTCTCGCTTCCAGGGAGCAGAGGGAACATGGGGTTCCCACACGGGGGGGGATCGTCTACTCGTGTGTAGATGGCCCGAGGTATGTCGGGGCACCAGGGACTTTCTTTCTAGGGTATACCTGGTTACCCGGCTATTAGTACCCGAGACGGTAGTCGGTTCGAGTCCGACATGCCACCGATAGGTGGTATCCGAGGGGATTTCCAAACGGAAAAAAAAAGGGGCACAAATAAAGAAATTTAAAACATACCTGTTTATTTTAGCCTTGTATTCCAGTGTTCCTAACAAAACCTTTGCTGCAAATTCCAACTGTTGACTAGCTTTTTTTACTGAGCCGTAAGGAAGCAATAAACCAGGACTTGAGTACACTGGTAGCGGGTCCCGATATTCCAAGTAAGCCGCGGCCAGCCACCATTCTTCAAGCCAATTGTCACGTTCGGCCGCTCTTTTCTCCAACAAAGCCTATATTTAGCCATTACGATAAATATACTTTTTCATTAGTCAAAATGGAATATTCAGCTGTTGTATTCACTTCAATATAATAAGTTACTAATATTAAGTTGCACTTACTTGCAATTGCGATCCCAAGCCTTGCTCAAAGTCTTTAACCAAGAGCGTGGTTTTATTATACTGTTTCAGATTCAAAAATGGTTTTACGGACACCAAATATCTTTCTAAAGTATCTTTTAATTTTGGAACTGGAAGTTTAGGTAAATTAACGGGGCTTTTAGATGCATTGGTGTAGTTGGCGTACGCTTGTAAGGAAGTTACATAGGGTTCCAAGTAAAATCCCCTGGTAGCACGCTGTAAAGAAAAGTCGAAGTTAGTCAATCTTGAAGCACTGTTTCAACTTAATCTATTACAAATGATATACAAAACCAGTCCCAATGTTCATGCTTATCCTTAAACACATAGAGCCAGTTAAATAAATGAGACTGTTCACCATTTTATATAGATTATCATAACATAGTTCATTGTTATGATGACGATGGTTAACCTGTGAGCAAAGCAGGCTTCAAAGGAGATTGGCGAAATTGGGCCTAACCGTTATAGGAATCGGCCTATATTCAAAATAAATAATGTTATTTTTATTAAGTACTTCAAATAATAATAGTTACCGATTTTTGGGGAAATAATTTATTAATTAAAATATTGGAATATTGATTTCCTGTTTACAAACAAGGAAAAGACATCAAATCAAAAGCAAATGTTGGCAGTCTTAAAAAGAATTGGTTGTATCGGTGATAAGCATCCCCATAAAGACGTTTTAGTGAGATCTATGAGACCTTGTGCCTCACACCCTGTACACAGGGTTACTGGGTAAGTCGACCTAGATACTTTAAGGTGTACTTTAATATTCACTATGAAATACCATATCCCAAACCTAACCATTTTCAAGATATTGATCTTTTAAGATTTTTTATAAAATGTTGTGCCAAAATTTTTCCACAATTTTTTTTTTAATTTTTTTATAACTACAATTTTAGTTATGGAACTTATAAAACAATTTATCAAGTACACAAAAAAAGCATAAAATAAAGGATATTAGTTCAAAAAAATTGTGTTAGGCAAAATTTCGGCAATTTTTTAAAAATATCTTAAAGACATTGAGTTAAATAACTAGAGAAGCAAACCTCATTACCACACATCGAAAAAAGTGTAACCAGTATTGAACTGTGACGACGTAGCTTTGAAACCATTAGACATTTGAAAGTAAACATACGTATGTCTCACTTATACGCGCCGCATGAACAATACCATGGCTAGGATTAGACAAAGACAAACATATACACATGCGATGGCGGACTAGTGTTGACTACTATTTGAAATCTTACCCATAACAACCGATTTTTGTATGTAATTTTCATTTTGATAACCGATTTTTTTTGTAATTAAATAATTAAAAAAATGTTTACTGGGTGGAATAGGCATGAGTAATAAATTAATTGAACAAGTTTCCTTAGTGTAGTTGTTATTATCCAGCTAAAGTCCGGAAATTTCTTAAACCATTAGGGGTAAATCACGCTCTTATTCTGCTTCTAAAAATGTTGATATCAATTCCCTAAATACACATTTTTCAGCTCCTACCAATTTTGGGAGGACTACCAAAACTACTACGATAAATTATCTTTCACCTCTGCCGACTCCTTAATGCATTTCGTTTGTTTTTAGTCAATTTTCTGCTTGTGATGTCAAGAAGAGCGTAGTATCTATAATGCAGTAGTAACCGACAACATCAGCCCTAATGTGGTACTTCCTATCCTAAATGAAATCCTACCTGTGATTTGTTATATCCTTAACTATTCCATATCCAACAGTGTTTTTCCATCCGCATGGAAAAGTTCTCAAACTATTCCTCTCCCTAAAAAAAGTAATCCTTCTTCTCTTTCAGACTATCGTCCATTCCATTCTTTAATTTTTCTCTACAGTCCCCGAACGTCTTATCTACATGCAGTTAAGTTAATTTCTTACAAAAAATTGTCTCCTAAATCTTCACCAATTAGGCTTTCGTTCTGGCCACACTATTACCATAGCTCTCATTCATATTACGGAGGATATCAGGTCGAACATGGAGGAAGAAAAGTTAACGGTCCTGCCTTGCTTGATTTCAGAAACACTTTTAATACTGTTGCCTTTGATATCTTGCTCGAAATATTGCGCTCTCTTAACACATCTCCATCAGTATTTGAGTGGTTTCATAGTTACATGTACGGTCGTTAGCAGCGTGCTTGTATTAAAATTATTTTTTCCTCTTGCGGACGTACCTCAGGGCGGCGTGCTATCCCCATTAGTTTTTACATTGTTTATCAACATCACTGATCGCTTACTTTCTTCCTACCACCTTTATGCAAATGATCTCCAAATTTAAACCAAAGCTTCTCTGGCTATATTAACTGAAGCTACCAATGAGATTAACAAAGATCTGATACAACCATCTCCTCTCCGAATACCAATTAAACAAACTTGAGCGTCTCCAAAATGTCTGCATTAGATTTATATTCAGCTTATACAAATATGATCATATCTCTGAGTATTGTATTAAGCTCAAATGGTTACCTATACGCCTTCGCTGGAATGTTCATATTCTCTCTTTTTTGTACAGTAATCTGTTCTTCCCACATACTCCATCTTATCTTAAAGAATGTTTTGAATTTTTACACAATTCAAATGGCAGGTCCTTTAGATCGTCAGAAAATCTAAAGTTAAAAATGGCCAGGCACACCATACAATTTACTGACAAGTCGTTCTCAGTGCAAGCAGTTCGACTGTGGAATAACCTACCTGAGGCAATTAGACAGGCTAAATCACTGCAAATATTTAAAAAAGTAGTCTTCTTTTAATTCAATGGCTCCATAGGATATCGATGATTTTGCCAACGTCAGGGTGGGAGGTAGATTTATTAGTTAATAGGTTGAAAATATTTGGAATACCAAGAGGGAAATGTTGTCATTTCAACAGTTTGTGTTTGTGTGGTTCTGTGCGACAGGAGAAAAAAAAGTTGTAAAAGTATCACGCAACATTACAATTTTATTTTATTTATATGAATAAAATTGTAAAGGATCTTGATAAATCTTGGGTATGTATAGAGTTGAGAAATAAGCCAAATTAACGGGTCGGGATATTTGTTGAAGGAGTACATCATACAGAGGTACAACTAATTTAGGACAAGAGAAGAAAATATGTTCCAGTGCTTTCTTCGAGACCACACTCACATAGAGAGTGTACTATTTACCATACATGTACTACTACACTACATGTAGAGTACATGTACTATGTACTACACTATATGAGAGTACTGACAAATCCTAATTGTAAACGAATTATAGTAGAGGTGGCTGACTTATTAACATGTTTTTTTGAAGAACCACGATCTAGAAGGAATTAAGGGTAGTAGAGAGCCGTAAAAATTACACTCGATCATTCTACTGCTTTGCCATGTATTATTCCAGGACTCAGTCAATGAAAGTTTGGCTAGGGACCGCAGATCTCGGGCGAAACCGAATTTGTGGGATGCGCATGTAGTCTGTGCTGCTATTTTGGCGCAGTAGTCCGCAGTTTCATTGCCAGCTATACCTGAATGACTGGGGATCCACGTTAGAACTACTTCAATACCAGACAATAGGCATCTTTGAAGAACCTCTTTAATTTTAAGAATTATAGGGATTTTATTGAGAGCTTTGAAAGGATTTTCAAAAGATCTTGTAGGCAGCTCAGAGTCTGATAAAATAAGGGACTTGTCAAGCTTATGAGATTCCACATAGGAGACCGCTTCCAATAGGGCAATAGATTCTCCTGAAAAGATAGAGTTGTAGGAAGAGCATTTATAGCTTAATATAATTTTAATTTTGGGTATCCAAACTGCAGAAGCCACGAATGCATCTAAAGAAAGTTTTGATGCATCCGTATAAAGCGTAACCCAATCAGAACAGTCCTCCGCAACGATGTGGAGAAAGTTTTGGTTGCCTGCCCGAAAATGTTTATTGAGGCCAAAGTCAAGGATGATTTTTGGTTGGAAAGTTCGAGCTCAAAAAGAGGATTTAAAGGAAAAATAGGATCAGATAGATTTTTCATTTTAATAAAGGAATTAAGGAGCAAAGGGAGGGACTTGTGTCCCCAGTACAATGAGGTAGTGGCCAGACTAGAAAGTTGAGACAGAATTGGAAGAAGGGGATGGGAATTAATTTGGACTGCATTAAAAAAGTATCTGTCAGATAAGAATTAGCGGCGAAAATGAAGGGGAGGTTCCAAGCATTCGACTTAGAGGGCATTTATTGGAGAGCATATTATAGCACCACTTATGATTCGAAGGCACTTAGACTGGATCACCTGTAGCTTAGACAGAGCAACTCTATGGCATGGTTTCAGAAGGAAAGAGCCATAATCAAAGTGACTCCGAACTATGGCATTGTATAAAAGTTTTTGGCAAAAGGGGTGAGACGCCCAGCGGACCCCAGTTAGGGCCAGCATAACGTTCACATCCCCCTCGCTCTTCTTAATAACATGGTTTAGATTGTGAATACCGGATAATTTAGAATCAAGAATGAGGCCTAAAACTTTATAACTTATAACTTTTACTTTAATTAGTTCACCTACTACAGAAAGGTTGATATCAGGAATATTACGTTTGCTAGTGAAAATAAGAGCACTACATTTAGAAACAGACAGAGAAAGATTGTGGTCTAATAGCCAAACATTGAAATAATACAGAGCGGAATTCAAACTGGAAGTGGCAGTAGAGAAGGAGGATGATGAAAAATATAGGGCAACATCATCAGCATATTGAAGAACTTTACAAAAGCAACTGACGGACCGGTCTAGGTCGGAAGTATAAATATTATAAAGGATGGGACTAAGCAATGAACCCTGCGGAAGGCCCTTCCATACAAGACGAGGAGGGAGAAAAGAACCTTGATGACGAAAAGAAATAGTACGACACATGAGCATATTACAGGTAATGTAAATCATCCTCGCTGGAATACTCAGATGTAGCATTTTCTGCCTGAGAGGAGGAAGATGTACATCGTCATAGGCTGCAGAGGTGTCCAAGAAAACAACGATTACATTCTCGTTACGAGAAAATGCAAGCCGAATTTCAGAGGTGAAAATGCAGAGGTTATCTAAAGTGCCTAAACCTTTTCTAAAGCCATACTAGGTTTTAGCTAATAATTCCTTGTGTTCTAGAATGAATCCATTCAAGCTAGCAAGCAATCCTTTTAGCTAGTACTGAGGAGCGCGCTATAGGGCGATAGGAAGACGAATTTCTGGGATCTCTACCAGATTTCAGAACAGGAATGAGAATTTGG